CTTGCTTTACAGCACCTGTCATGCTAGTTTGGGGTTCCTGGAGTATTTAACATTACAGCCACTGGATCAAGAAAACGAACTCAGGTAGCAGAACAGACTCCATCTTTAATTCCCTGTAATTTATAAAGACAAAGATGGCATTAGCAAGCCAAGCCTTTAAGCCGGAGCATCTGCTCAGATACAGAAATAAATACGATTTGGGGGACGCTTCTTATCCTATTTGTTATTAATGCGTAATCCAGTCAGAATTAATAACAATACATTTGTGCAACAGCAACTTCCAGAGTAAGGAACTCACCTATGCATAAAACTATCTTCTTTATGAAGTTCTTCATTAAAAAAACAAAACAAAACACGAAAAAAAAAAACCAAAACCAAAACAAACACAACATTTTAACGTTCACTTTCTGGTGAAGGCACTATGACAGTTCCTGTAGAAATTGAAATTACGATGCTCCTCCTTTAGAGCTTTCTGATTACCACTGAAAACACTTACTCTACATTGACCATAAGGAAAAAATAATAAATAAGAAATATACAAGTACAGCACATTCAGAGTTTCATTTATATTAAAAAAATGAACACAGCATATTTCCTTAGAAGCTAGAAACCTCCCTTCTGCAAACTCATTTTTTTTAAATCGCATACAATCATACAGTTCTCTACAACAGAAGAGTCATGATATTTAAAATCTTACACATCATTTGGTACACACGTGCTTTGTATCAGCGTCCCACTATGGGAGCACTTCAGGGTCTGCATGCGGTCCTCTGTCGCTTGGCAAAGGACCACCAAGGTGTGACGCTCATGGGACACCGGCAGAGTCCTGATGAGGAGAGCGTCACTTCCGTGGGTGATCTCCTCCTGCTCCTCTGTCAGTTAGCGGAGGCAGACTGCCTGGAGTACGTAAATCGACTTGCTCAATGAAGTTCTGTATAACTCTGAACTGGGAAAATAAGTATTCCTACATCTTCTGCAGTATCATGACATTGAGATACATTGGTTTTGCCACTTTTAGTAAAGGTCAGCATGATTCACAGAAAGAAAAATGGAATGAAAGAAGATTGGAGGTTTTTTGTCATCTAGAGTGGATTACTCCTCAGGCTGCCATGGTACGTTCAGCATAACCTGCAAGCAGAAACTCTGGTACGTTCGGATGACCTCTCTCCAAGTGCTAGACTGTATCTCAATACTTGTACCCAAAGAGGCTAATACTATCTTTCAGCCACTATTAAGAGGAAGGAGACAGAAGGTTCTGCAGTCTGCTGAAAAAGACTAGCCACAGATCTTCACGAATACAGCAAGGACTTGAAACTATCATGAAATCCACAGTCCCGCTACCTGCTTCACAACATTTTGCTGAGGCTCATTCCCTCAAGCATGAAGCCTGGAAACCTCCTAAAATTAAGTCTGATGGATTCCAAGTTGTTTGACAACCTGTAACTAAATGGCACAAACTATACTCCTTTTTTTTGACACTGATCTCATGAACAATAGTCACACAGAAATAAGAAGAAAACTCAGGTCCAGTTTTAATGTTTCATGTTTAACTTTATACCTGGTTTGCTCTTACTCACCATTACACAAAATAATGCATATAATCCCTTTGATTTTCAGCTCGCTCTCCTTCAACGCACGTTTCCTTTACACAGCTGCTCTTTCATGCACGCTTTCAACCATGCTGAATGGAAGTTTAGAGAAATGTAGCTAGGGTAAGAAATAACTGGGTTTGAGAGACTTGCATAGGAGTGGATTTTCATTATTTATCCATTTGTTTTCTGTATCAAACCCTAAATTTAGCCTACCTGCAAAACACAGATAAAAACAAATAAAAGAAATTGTGCCACAGAAATGAAACAACTTTCATTTTGAAGAAAGTATCTTTGAAGCTCTTGTCAAGTAACAGGTTAAAAGAATCTGAGTAACAAACTTAGATACTGTATCATGCATCCGACTAGTTTACAGCGGAGATTATTCAAGGATATTGTTTAGAAAACAGAGTGGATTTCAACCATAAAGCAAAACAAGTGATGGCCAAAATCATCCTCTATATAACTTTGTACATTGCACCTCGAGATTCTTACAACACGAGAAATGGTGCTGTGGCTTTTTTCCTCCCCGCCCCTAATGAACGCGCTTCTTGTTCCAAAGTTCTTCAGAACATATTTGCTAGTAGACTTTAATCTTTTTACCTTTACCCTTTTACCTTTTCAGGAATTGGTTCTTAAAAAAAAGCATTTGCTTTACTAAGAATAAGCACAGAGAGCAACACTATTAACACCCAAACTCCGTAAGCTTAATGGTGCCCGAAGCTACACCAAAGCAGCGAGAAGGTGACGACAGCCAGCAGCTTGTGACACAAAAAGGGGCAAGAAGTCCTGGCCGCTTCTATGATTTCTGTAATAAAACACTTTTTTTTTTTTTTAATACGTATCACACAGAACATTAGACAAACACCGCAAGCTTTCCCTTCCTAGAGGTGAAGCATCAGACAGACAGTACAGCCAGTTCTTCTCTGAGAAGCTACAAAACCAGAATCACTCAACGAATCAGTTTAAGGACATCTAAATATTAAATTCTGTACTTAAGACTGCTTTTGCAAATTGAGGTAGGCACTGCAGGAATTTGCATCTGTAAAACACCAGGACAAGTTTCAAGCGGAATATTTCTTCAAATGAGAAAAAGCGTGCCACCATTACTAACTGGTACAATGATGATACAGACTACAGGGGTAACTAGTTTTGTTTACCAACCTTTTACTAACTCTTCCCCTTTTCCATACTGACAGATGCTGCTATAATGCTCTTGTAAAATGAACTGTGAAGGGCCAAAGCGCCTCCAAATAAAAACTGAATAATCTATGAGAAGTTACTTTATTTCCTTTTTTTAAATATACATATACAAGATATTTTATTTCAAAAGCACAAGAACATTATACAAGTTTCAAATTTACATTTTTGCAATTAAAGATACCAATATGTGCATTACCAAATAACTTCTTCTGTCAGCTTGGATGGAACAGAGATCAGTGGCATAAGCGTCTTGCGATCACTAAATACAGATTATACTCACAGTGAACAAAACTGCATAGTAATTTATGAAATGAAAGATGACCACGCTAGTCAGTGAATGATATGGGAGCCCATTTGCTAAATTAGTATGCGCAAACGTACAGAAAGATGCAACTTTCCTCTCCCACTTCCTCAGCTACAAAAAGACTTCTAGAGCTTTAAACATGAGCTCACCTGCTCAGACCGGCTCCTGTCCTTATATACTACAGTTCAGACAGAAAACGAAATAAAGTGATCTCACTGCATATTTGATAACGGAATTTTTGTATCAGTGAAGTGCAAGGTAACTGAAAGTTTTTGATAAATGAATAGGTAAATATCAGAAGGACACAGTAAGTGAATACGGTTTTGGTATCAATGCATTTTCTAGTCTTAATCCAATATTTTTGTTGGTAAGAAGTTTTTTTATGACCTTAGAAATCGCCAGTGCATGCAAGTTTTCATGACAACTCTTCTTCTAAATTCAGTATGCATTTCAAATACATTTTAGAAAACACGACCAGAATTAATGTTTGTCTTTAAAGAGTCTCTTATTCAGGTTTAAAATCTTAAAGAATTAAAATAAGGAGAGTGGTCTTAATTGGAAGAAACAGAATATCTGAAAAATACACCAAAGCCAACTATTTATATCACCAGGGGAAGGATTATAGCAAAAGTTATAAAAAAGTATTCGAAATCAGAACAATATTTGGGTTCACTCGTATTCCATTTTTAGGTGAGTTATGGTGCTGTTCAGTGCACTCATACATACTCTAAAAACTTTAAAAAAACCCGGGAGAACAATGATATTTAAATCTAAATCATTTGTGATTTTACTATCTCTCATACAATCAGTATGGAAAAAACAAACAAACAAGCAAACAACAAAAAAACACCAAAAATAAATCATACAAACCCACACTCTCAGACATTAATTTGAAAACCTCCCCTTGCAAGCCTTATTAAAATGACACAAAGGAATCCAAATAGCAAAGAGGCGGGGAAATTTAGCGTACTGACAACTTCAAACTTTCACACAGAAATGGGATTTCCTGGCAAAGCATTTTTACCCGTCATATTACAAATTCTCTCATGTATATTATGGTTGAAATTCAGAAAATGGAACAACAAACATTTAGACCTGAAGCACAATCACATATCATTGAGAGAGAGAGTTCAATCACGATGTGCTATAAACTACTGAAGGCCAAAGACACAGATTTAGCCACCTTTTTTTCCCCTTTTCTGCTCTAACTGCCACTGAACATGTCCCCCAAACCACACAATTTCATTTATGCAGGCAGGGCTCCAAACAATAGTGACAGAGAATGAAGAGTGGAAAATTCCTCAAATATGGGCAAACTTCTTTCTGATTCTAAAACTTGCTGCTTTTGGGCCTTGATTTTAGTCCAGTGATAGCTTTGAATGTCTTCTACTTTACTGAAGTCTCTGGCTCTTGCGTAACTTGCAGCGCTACACTACAACTACATAACAGTATTTTCATGTTTGGTTCTCAGGGAAAATCTCAGAAGACAAACTGTAAAAGAAGTAAAACTAACCACAACCTAGCCAAATGGTGTAGCCCTAGACCTCTTAGGATATACAGCATTAATAGAGGACAAATGCATTAGATAAAGTGCAGTTCTGGCAATGCAAAAAGCACGGACTTTATTTTTTGATGCAACAAGCAAGATGGTAATTCTCCCGTGCGCTTTCTATCCCACACTTCTTTAAAGAGTTCATTAATGAAAACTCTTCATTAAATACCAGGACATAGCTGAATGCAGGCTTTTTCTGTACAACTTAATGTTTGGTGTACCTGTTGCTACAGATTACTAAAGGCCTGGCACCACTTCCACTCCAATATTATGCCACAGATCTTGACCTATGTAAAAGCTTCACTAAGCTTGGGAAAAGGACCCAGGAAAAAGTAAAGGAGGCTCTTCCATAGCAACACCATTTAGGTATATTCTCAAGGCATGGAAGAGACAGAAATGTGGTATATGCCCCAAAGTACAGCATTTGGGAAGCTGTACTCGTCAAAACATGTGAAACAATTACAACTTCTCAAAAAAGTGGAAATATTTCTGGACGTGAATGTTCAGTAATAATTATGTAATATGGTTTTCCTTTTTGAGGAAAAAAAAAAAGAGCAAAACATATGATGTGAGATTCTGTTTCAATGTATCAGTAATACAACCAACTTCGAGAATCCATCAATTGTGTCTGAACTACAGAATCCACTTGCAAGTAGGTTATTTACTGCCACCCTCCTTTCCTTTTCCAAAGCATTGCCAAAGGTAAGAGTTTTCACTAAGAATCAAGAGACTCAGAGCAGTTGCCAGTTGAATCCAAAGAAGATCTGATTCGTTTCTTGGCTCCTGGCAATCTCCTCTATGATGCAGTGCTGCTGCCATAGCAGATGGAGCTTCCGGTAACGCTCCCGACATAAGTGCAGGGGATTGCCTCTTCTTCATAGAAGAAAAAGGAGAATAAGCAATAAGCATATCAGAATAGCAACTGACAAACTGTTCCATTAATAGTCTAGCATTAGCACTCTTAATGATAGCCAGAAAATATTATATAGTTGTGTGAATTCCAACAAGTCTACTGGAAATGAAAAAAGATTCTACGTGAGCCAAGCAATGACTGCCATTTCCAAGATGACATTTCAGCAATGGCAGCTGTTGCACATTTCTGATGAAAAGTATACAAAGTATTCTTCAGAAAAGTAATAAAAGTTTAACAGTACCAAAAAAGTGTATTTTCCATTATGAATGACCCATTGACGACTGGAAACTGCCATCAGGGATTTGAAGTTAAACAAGTTCACCAGGCTAAGATACATATTACAGTGCTATACATGCTAACAGGAAGAACATGTTGTCTAATGGGTGTAAGAAAGATAGATACCAAAATGGAAATGTGGAAAGAAAGTCAGTCAAACATTTACTTACTTCAAACCTGGATCTGTTTCTCCATATTCATCCAAGTAAGGAGCAGGATATAAGCAGCCCCTGGTTTTACCTTCAATGAGGACAACTTTGCATTCCCTGATTCTTAAGGAAAAAATAGCTACATTTAAAATACAAGACAACTCCCAGCAGGTTCTTAACTTGTTGGTGAGCTATATTTTAGGTCAAAGCAATGTTTCTTCATCTCAGACAAAAAAGAATCAAGTGCTTTGACAATGTTGTTCAAGTATTTCCCTTTACTCTCTAACACGTTAAATTCTGGCTAGCTACTTACTTGAGAAACATACAGACTCCAGCTCCACATTGAAGAGCATGAGAAGTACAGGCTCCCAGCTCCTCCCCATTCACCAGTTCCTGACAGCAAGTATTCTGGGAACACAACATAGCCCCACAGAATAAACACAATACTGGATGTTTTTGTTCATCATCAGAAGACCGTGGGCATCTGGAAGAAGCGTAACCAGGACGTTACTGCCGGAATTAAAACTTTAAAAGAAACGTTAACTATGGATAATGTACCTTAAAAAACAACAACAACCCCCCCCCCCAAACCCCCAACCCACAAAAACCTAAAGACATACTATGTCTTAATCATATTTCACATATCTGCCTCCTTTTGCTATATTTTTACATTGCTTAAAATATTTTATCTGCAAGATATCTGCTTTGAGCAGGAAGCTGGACTAGATGATCTGCTGAAGTCCCTTCTAACCTGAATTATCCTATGATTCACTCTTCCTGGCATAAAACAGTGCCAACCTTCTGGGCTTGTTGTGTACAGTGCAAAAATAATTTTCAAGCTTATGGCCAAACCAAATGCACATTGCAGTTGTGGAAAAATGACCAGCACATTAAGCTATAATAATCTTATATGCTATCCTATCAAACACAAGTGACTTCATTTAGTGAGCTGTTGTGTTTCAGATTTAAAATGAACATGTGCTGGTATTGGCCAGTATAACCATAACAGTGTCTCTTCTGCAAAATAATTTCTGTACATAGTTTTAACACCAGTCACAGTAACTGCAAGGATATAAAAGTGACTAAAAGTGACAAAACACCTAGGAAGACAACTAAATACGTCACATCTTACCTAAACTGAGAGGCTTGGTTCAGAAGGCAGCTATAGTCTTCAGGAAGCTCTATTAAACTATTTCTTTTCCTAGGATACCTGGGTAAGTGAAAAAGAACTATTATCAGAATAATAAAGATCGCAGCAAAGAACAGAATGGATAGCTATAAATTCCTGCTAAGCTTTCGGTCCTTTCTGTAAATTTCTGCAGTTCTAGAGCAGTTCTTCAGTCCTAGAAGCCCAAGTAAGGGGGTCCACATGGGAGTTTCAGCATTTTTATATTCCAGCAAAGGTGATGAAATTAAATTTCATATGTAACCTACATGTATGAAGACACTTCGTATTTCAGTTAGCTTTTGTTTTTTCCTGGAGTAAGCTAGATCACTGAGAATGTATGATGTTGTTAGACAAGTTAAGAGTCCTGCATGAGGAATAATACATTTCTCTTTAAATGGTTGTGTATTTTTAGTAGTAGAGAAGGAAGAAAATAGAAGCACTCTAATTTGCCCACAACAAGCACTTCAGTCTTTCAACAGTTTTAAGTCAAAAACAGAAGAAAAAACAACAATAACAACAAAACCATATTTACCTTATTGCAATGCTTTTCCCCTTCAAACAACTTAACACCACCGGGTCAGCACACCACCTATTTCAAACAAACATTTGCAGATGACAGTGTTTGATAATAATAAACATTTAGGATCACTAAACTAAACTAGAAAGCAATAGGCAAACACAGAGCACAGATAAAGCATTGATAGTTCTAGCTACAACTTCACAAGGAGAAACAGCTATTCTTTACAGTTTTGCTTCAGGAAAAGAATTTAAGTTTGTATACAAGAGAAAAACCTATGTGAAAAACAATAACACTTAAAATTATCAAAATGCACATGAAAACACAGAATTAAAAAAATGCAAGCAGTCTTCAGACATATTCAAGTTCTCGAAGTGGGCTACAATACACAGCTCCTTTTGGAATATATCTGCTGAAAGCCACAGTGTAAGAAAATATCATACACTCTACTAGGAAAATATTTATTGCTTTTATTTAATAACCATCACCCAACGGTTATTTTAGAATGCTTTATTGCGTGTTGTATGCTTGCTTAGAACCGCCAAATGTGTCCACCAAAACAATGGTAGATATTGGCAAGTTGCTAAACAGAGGAATTGGTATGTCTAAGATACCTTTTAAGTTATTTCTACAAAAAGGAGGAGAAGAGAGAGAATTGTAGCAGATGGTCAATCTAGTAAGCTTCATTTAACACATTTCTCAACAATCATCAAATTTAGTCTTCTGAAATAAGATTCTTTAAAAAACATATGGGAACTTGCATGATGATTTGACAACTGTTACTATTACATTAAATATGTAGCCTCCTACTTGAAACCTCTGTTTTTGACTGGGAGCACTACAACAGTTTTCTAATGTTCACAAGCACCTACCCTGTCTTTTCTTATAAGCACTCATGTCTTTGAGCGAACATGTAGGAACATATAAGACGAACTTATTTATAAGTAATTATATATACTACAAATGCAATTAATAATAGTAAAATTGCATGTAGGGAATTGTTTAGGCCAGCTGTATGGACTGTAAGTTGGAGTCAACAGCTCAAAATGTCCCTAAATTGAAGGAATCTAGACAACAAAACAGAGCAGAGGTTAAAAAAAAAAACCCAAAACCAACCAACCAACCAAAAACACCAAACCAAAACAAAAAACAAACAACAGAAAAAGCTAGCATGAGCCAGAGAATTCTGCCAAGAATCAGAAATAATAATAATAATGCAACCAAGCGCTCAAACGGTCACATTGAATACTTGGACACATTCTCCAACAGAATATAGCAGGCTTATTCTCAGAGTTGGGAGGAGGGCTGTCTGTTTATTTTTAACTTGTGTTTTTGAATGGAGAATTTTACCAATTATTTCTTTACTGATAGATTGCAACGTACATAATACTCAAATTGTACCTGTTAACCATTAAGCTAACTTCGACATTCATCAGTCTATTTTGGAAATCCAGAGAAGAAATAGTACAAAGCCTCACCCTGCTGGCAACCTAATTTTCCATATTCTCGTTTTATAGCTCGTGTAATCAGCACTTTTGCTGTAGACAGATTAAAAATAGGCCAATGAACAGTAAGTGGCATACCATGCAAGCAAAGGTTTATGATTACTTCTTTCTGCATGAATCATTTCATGTAGGTCTGCAAGCACTAGTCCCGTAAACTATTTGTTTAATGACTGAACTACCATAAAATATAGATGTTTTATGTTTTTGAAGTGCTTTCAGAGATTCAGTATACCTGTGCACATCAAACAAATGTTTAGAACTCTAGTATGAATTTGAGCTCAATCATTTATTAACAAATTTGATCCAGAATTCCCATAGAGCCATCACAACAGAAAAACGTGGCCTGTCGAGTCCCCATTAGTACCTTTGAAGCAGTGGATTTACTGTGTCCCAATATTCCTGGAAGAGCAGGAACAAATTGGTAGGTAGAGAGAGGTAACTACAAAGTGCCTTGAATTGCCCTTCTTCAGAAACTGCGAAAGAAAAAGAAAACATGAGCAACTGTTAAAGTGTTTCAGCTCTGCTGAATAGTTCACTCAGAACTAGAAATCTGATCCCTTTTCCATTGAGTAACATGTATCTTAAAGCTTCAGCATAGCTCCTAGCTAGTACAACTGGATGTAATTCCACTGACTTAATCAGAGCTATAATAATTTGCCTTAGCTGAGGATCTGCTTTAGGTTTAAATTATGGAATAATATATGTCAAATTTGTTAAGACACGCATAAGTCACTGTAATAACAGAATTCCTTGCTTAAATTCCATTTCACTGCATAATATGTAACACATTAGTGCAGCAGACTTCTGTACTCAGAACATTTTAGCTTTTCACTATCCTTTTGGCCTGCAATGATATTAAATTTTGCTATGATCAAGTCAGTGCTAACGAATTACATAAGTTGGGCTAATTTAATAGTTTGCTGGGTGGTCATTTATTGGCTCTGCTGCAGAAAACTGCATTGCTGATTCACAAGGAAGACTCCTGCCTATAGAACCTATAGTGCCTGACTAATGGTAAAGACAATAGCGTATCCCAAAGTGTAGAGATTTTGACTCGTATATCCTAATTAAATTCAAACTTAGTTCACAGTTTATAGAAATCAATTTAAGACGCTATATTTTGTCTCAGTTGTTCATAGCAATTTTGGTCCTCCTTTCCAAATAGTTGATGAGTCTGTGTTTCACTGCATTTTGACAGAAGACAAAATACTTATTTTTGGGTTTAGCATCTGTAGTGCATTAGGATCCTTTAACGAAGAGGTTTAAGTTTTATAATGTGCTTTATTTCTACTTGGCTCTGTTTTGCTGAATCTCTATGTCTTTAGCATTTACTTACATTGGTAACTGTACAAAAAGGTTTGTTTTGTTTTTTAAATATACTCCAGGCTATTTCTCTGGTGATGTAATCTAAGCCCCTAGAATTATCCTTAAATCACAGAATCTTTGTATCCACAAATACTTACTATCAATACATCATTGATAATTCACATATTTGCACATACTCAGAAGTAACTCTCTTCCATGCAAAGGCAGCCGAGGCAACTCAGCTTCTCGTGCCTGCCCCGTCCTATAATAGTATTTCCTTTTCTTTCCAAGTCTTACTTTAACGTATTAACTATTACTAAGTTATTGTGAACATTTAAAAATTCCATTCTTCCAAGAAAACAGTAAACAAAGTCAATATATATATACACATTTGCTTTCTCATATTTACCTTGTAGTAGTTCCTCAGGTGGAGAAACTCCCAGCAAATAATGAAAAAACAAAGCAGCAGAACGAAGGTAAGGCATGATGCCTTTTTTAACACAATCCCACACAAGCCAGCCTGGAATATCCTGACTAAAGCAACTGTAATACACAAATGAGAAATAGCTGCAGTAGTTCACAGTGCAAATCCTTCTAGCACTTTCACATTTTGACTAACGTTGGTAGAATGGCAGCTGTGTAGAAGCAACATTGATGTACCCCAAATTCTGTGTAACACGGCTACCAGCACCTAACTTCCAACTTCCCCTTTGCCTAAGGAATGAGTACTGAGTTTATGAAGAACACTTACATTAAGCCTTCAAATTATCTCAACTTATATTTTTCAGAATTATAAAAAAATAAATAGCCAATACACAGCTGTCCATCTCCAGATGTAACTCAAGATAACCTGATTTAAACTGTGCAATACAGCATCACACATAGAGCAACTGATTCTCACACTGGTTGTTTTTTACTACTGGAAGCCAGCAATTTTTTTGAAATGGTATAGCTTTTTCATTCAGTTGGTGTTTTGAATGCAATTCAAAATAAGGGAAAAAACCAAACAACAATAAATACTCTTCAGGAACAGCAAAACCAACAGAATTAAACAATTAATACCTCATACTTCATTATGGAAGTCACAACAGTAACACTCAGATTGTTTAAAATAAAGCTATACTAATCCCATTTTTGACAAAAAAATACTGTTTTCTAAGTTAAGTTCACATTTATGTGAAGAGGATGTTCACATAAACGTTGACCAGGACCTGCTGAGGAACAACCTGTAAAGCTGTGTTGTATCATAGACCATTGCAAAATTACAATGCAGGTTGTGCTGTTTAAGCACAGATAGGACAGAGTTAGAAGATGACAATGCATACACAGAAATTAAAACACTAAAAGTTTCAGAGCTGGGTTGCCTAAACTTTGGCATTTAATTCTGTACCTAGGCATCTGAGCACAGTGACCTGATTTTCCAAAACACACAGCACCTATGATTCTAAGCTCATGCCTCAGAAAAATTACTCCTATTATTTAAACACCAAATTTTAAATATTTAGAAATTTAGACTTAAAACTTTCAGACAAGTGGGTAGCGTTGTCAGTCCTTCAGAAACACATCTTTGCAGCTAGCCTTAGTGAAGATAAATCAAAGCAGAATTTGTAGAGGGTATATCCATATTTTCTAGTTTATTTCACACACACATACTGAAGTACTAAAGAGTCTGTAGCTATACCTATCAAAAAAGTCTGAAAAGATGGGCACTAATGCTCAAACAAATAAGCAAGTGTGTTTAGCTTTACACCTCTCCCCCTTTTATAGAAGAACCATTTCCTTCTTTCTGGCTTCCATCTATAATTGAGGTATCTCAAAAAAAATCAAGGCAAAGAAAAAATAACTACTATAGTTAGAGGTTGTATTTCTCTCCAGTATGGACATAGGCATTTTTTCATCCTTAGACTAAGAATTTATTCTGTTGTCCACAAAAAGTAGCTATTTTAACTACAAGTGTTCCTTTCACCAGTTTCCTTTTTTTCAGCGTTCAGGAGTATGGGAATAAAGCACAAGGCATTGTGCTAACTCCCCATACAAAATGGCTCATCCCATTTTCTGCGTTGTTCAGGTCAACCTCTGTGCATTGCCATCTTTCTAGGAAAACACAATGCTATAACTGAACTGCTACTTACCCACTGGTGTACCGGCAAACCTCTCTACAGAAAGACTGTGCAGACAGTGCCTCCTCACTGTTGTCAGATGATCGAGTAGTAGGGGATTCTGCACACACAAAGATGAATCCCACTGTAAATGCACTTCATTTGTGACACAATTCTCTTTCTTACATATACTGAAAACTGCATGCTATTAGGAAGAATCAGGATTATTGCCTCATTGCTCATCCCCACATAGAAACCGCTTCCTTCCCTTAAACATTTGAAGTTATTGTCCTACAATTAAGTTATTGTCCTACAACTAAGCTACAGGATTTTTTTTTTTTTAATTCCCATCATGCTGAAGAAAAAGGAAAGCAGTAGCTAGGAAGCCTGTAGGTTACTGACAGTTTTTAACAGAAGCGTGAAATACAGAGAAAAGTGAAATTCTCTCCTATCAGTTTATAGGATTCTGTACTTCCGCTCTGGGTATTTACTAGGTTGAAGGGTAAAGAAAAGTTTATTTCCCAAATCCATACTAACTGTCACTGTGCAACTCAGAGTGCTGCTGCTGGACAAAGCTTTGCTTCTCCTACAAAAACTGAAGAGGGGTCAGTTATCACTCTATAATGACTGACTTGAGCAAGTACTGATATGTCAATAACTATTTTGTTTTCTTAGGCTAAGCACACAGAAGTGATATAATAAAATGCTCTGAAAATGATGTTGTGCTATTTATTTTTTACCAGAAAACAGTTATTACTACCTAGCACTAAGTGTCATTTATTATGAGGAAGTTTATACCTGAAGATACTAATGATGTCCATCCATTATTTTTAAGAAATTGTGTAAAAATGCCAGAGTAATCCAACCCAAATACAACTTTACCTGTTGCTGAAGAGACGACTATTTGTGTTATGTGTGCCAATGTTGTCAGATGGAAGAGGTAGAGGTGGTTATAAGCTGAACTAATTGATGAAGGTTGCAAGTCTACAGCATCCTGCCAGTACAAAGATGGAAAGGATAACACAACTCCCACCTACAGTGAAAGGGAAGGAACAAATATTAAAGTAACAGAAATTTGGTAATAGCTACACAGGTAACAGAAATTATATTCTCACTATATGTTTATATTTTATTTCTGTAGTCAATTTAAATATGTTTATTTGTCTTGCTGGTTTTATTTCACAAAGTGTAGAAAAAACTCATTGGAAAATATTAGCCATCTGTGCCCCTCTAGCATGTACGAAATTCAGATATTGTTCCATTGTAATTGTCAGTTTAAAGATACACCAAGAAAGCTTGTCCAGTTCCTAGAAAGCTCAATTTCTAAGACAAAACACAATGAAAAAAGAGAGAAGCGAGACCAAGCATTAGTTAGAAAGCCAACCAGGGCAAAACAGGGGTTATTTTCATGGGTTTGTTTGGGTTTTGTTGGCTTTTTGGTTGTGTGGTTTTTTGTTTGTTTGTTTGTTTGTTTTTTTAACAGTAGAAGAAACTATAATACAGATTTGTATTAAGAACAGAAATAAGAGGCTAAGAAAAGTAAAGAGAGTAATGAGAGCGAACGGAAAGGAATCAGAAGGCCTGAGAGACCTGTTGAGACAAAGAGAAAGTGAGGGAAACAAGCTCAGTGGGTGCATTTCTCAGGGTTTTTTTGAGGTTTGGTAGCAACGGAGGTGGTAAAAAGATGATTGAGATTGCAAGAATGAACTTTAATAAGAGTGAGAGAGCAAAGACTTGAAAGCTAGAACAGCCAAACTAAAAATAAATAGTCACATATAGCAACCATATGTAATCATTTGCTTGTATGCAGTGCTCCTGTATAATCATTTGACTCATGCTAGTGAACAGATAATGCAGGACTAGCTACATGGTAAAGTACACAAAAATCCACGCTCAAAAAAAAAAAAAGTATTAATATGAAGAATAAAATGAACTTGCTTACCAAAATGTGGAACATATCTACTTCTAAGAGGGATGGAGTGTCCTCCACTTTAAAGTTCGGTAGAAGAACTACAAAAGAAAGATATCAATTATGCATTTGATATTTATTTTCTTCTTTTGGATTGAACTGCAATATCAGAATCTGATTTCAGAGCCTCTATCATTTGTGTTTTCATCAAAAAAAATGTCCAAGTCTCCAAACTAAGGAAGCATCTATTTAGTCAACTGCTTGCCACTTATTTAATCGATTGTGCATCTGTTTAGCTATGTCCACATGCCCAACCAGCTCACAATTTTAATGACAATATCTTCAAAATTCTGAGATAATAATCTTTATTTCTCCAGCTCTAACAAAGCACACACAGTGTTAAGGATGAAGTCCACAAATGAACTTAGGCACTGCAACACTATATGCCTCACAACCTAGCCCAATACAAAAGCCTCTACCACACCTAAGAGTCCCAAGTCAGAGTGGGATTCACAAAGGCCACCATGTTAACCTAATCAGTAAGAAACATGGAGGATAGCTATGTGTCTCAAACTAGCTCTCCCTGAGACCAAAGTATCTTACAGTAGACTGGCAAGCAGCCTTTTGAAAGTACTAAAAAGTACTTCAGTGATACAGGGCTGGGTTAACAGAATTATTGATTACTTAAATTCAAGCAATACTCCATGATTTCAGGCAACATTAGAGAAACTGAAGTTAGCACTGTTGTCAGTAGTCTAACCTTTGCTTCAATGCTGTATTAATGCATGTGACATTTTGCAATAGAAACTTCTGCAACACAAAAAGGTACTAAAGAAAAGGAACACAATACCTCCTAGAAGACGAATCAGATGTTTCTGAATCAGGACCTGTGGTGACGTTGTTCTTTGAGCAGCTGCAAACTGCACTAATGCTTTAAGGCCACTGTGCTAGAGCGCAAGAGAAAATGGTTGGACAGGAAAAAAGGAAAGATATAATAGTGAAATGTCTACTTCTACAAACAGCAAACACATTGATAAGCGAATTTAATATGAACTTCCATGTAAAAGTAGAAACATTATTATTCCAAAATGCTCTTTATGTTATCAATCCAAACACTGGGAGCTATCCCTCAACAGAGAATGATCTTGATGTTAGCAATTTCAACAGTTTTTTATATATGTGTGTGTTATTTATATATATAAAAATTTTTTGGTTAAAATGTATTGCATATCTTACTTGCCCATACCTGTCTATTTTGTAGAGATCCAAATAAAGGCTTGCCCTCTGTTTCCAAGAGGTTTTCTTAAAATTAAACACAGAAAAAATTAAGTTGCTTTGTTCTACAGGAACTAACATAACATTTCTGTTAGAATACACTTAGTCCAAGATTAATTTATTCTTGGTATATGCACTTCTTTTTAAAGCTCAGCTTCATTCTGATAGAATTCTCTTGAAAAATCTATCTTAAATGGTGCTGAATGTTTCCCAGAGAAACGGTTGTAACAAGCTTTTTAAAAACATTTGGTTTTCAGATGTTGCTAACTAGGGATTTAAAGGAACACTGTTTCACATGAATGATGATATTCTATGGATTTAGTTGTATTTTCAATTACCCTTATACAATGCTCAAAAACATCAAGGTATGTTTACAGGGATGCTATACTGCCATCTTACCCTCAGATTTGCACTACCGCGTTTGACTGTAGTTTAACAAAAATATTTTGAAAACAAAATTCCCAAGCTGGAATACAATTCAGCTTTCCTCCCTGAGTGCATTGGTTCTGAAGGGATAATAAAGAGAAAACAAGCCAACAAAAATAAGAAACCAAATTAACACAATTGAGTAAAAAGGTATCAATTCAAATGCTTTTGTGCTTTAGTCACTTTTCAGAGATGAATCAGTACACTTCAAGATCTTGGAATTTTTTTTGTTGTTTTTGTTGGGGGTTTTTTGGTTGGGAGGTTTTTGTTTGTTGTTATGGTTCTGGTTTTGGGAGTTTTTGGGGTTGTGGGTTTTTTTGGGGGGGTGTTGGGGTTTTGGGGTTTTTTGTTTGTTTGTTTGTTTGGTTTTTTTTAAAGCACCTCTAACAAAAAATGAAAGTGTTTTAACTTAGCACTTTCGTACATCAGTTTAACACACAACATGTGGAGTTGCTGAGGAAGCATGGGAAAAATCAGATTTGTATTTTTAAGTGTCTGGCTTTATGCAATTAAAGCAATTCACATCCCTTGGGTCAATGATGCTTTGAACCTCCTCTAGAGACTCCACTAATACGAGTAGCTAAGGTTCCTTGTCTAGCCAGCTTGGCTACATGCCTTTTAAATGGTTTTAATAACGCGCCCTATGACTAGATTCAAAACCATACTAGAAGCTATGTAGGCAGTTTTGCTTTACAGTTTCACGGAACCCTGCTCTATTTGTAAACAAAAATGAACCCAAGCAAGTGGCGTGGCCTAGGGTAGGTCAGACTGTCACAGCGGTCCCTATGGTTTTATAATCTTCGCCTGGTAAGGAATCTGAATTTTCTACTTCTGACGTATGCCTTCGATAACACATCTGTGATAACAGTTATTGCATAACAGTTATTGCTGGCAAATTCATCCCTGACAGCCACCAAAGTCTTTTTTTAGATACCAAATGAAAACAATCTGCTCAGCATTAAGTGCATTAATGTTAATAGAGCTGGGTGGCTTCCAGTCCTCTCAACCCATTTGAAAACTCTGATAAAATCCAACACTAAAAAGATGCAATCAGTTTTCATGACTATTCCTGCCTTATCAGAATAGTCCCAATCCTCCTAAAAACCTTTTGAACTCTTGATACTCCAGCTGGGTCAAGTCCACCATAGATTTATGGTAGACTACACTTGTACCTCAACAGCTTCATCAAGAAAAAAATAGCATACTTGGCAAATCATATTTATGGAAATGTACAATTACATTCTCAATCCCTTCAGCATGCATTTCAGACTTTTCTCTTGCCTCTCTCCCTGCCTGGAAGCCACTACAGATTTATCTACACCTTCATGTTTGTAACACAAACTTCTTTGTGTATATAGTACAGAAATGAAATGAGACTGACTGCTAAACAGGTACATTATCCCAAAAAAGGCAATAATTTTTACAGTAATTATTTTGCCTTCAAAAAGAGCTTCATGCCAGAGAATGTTTGGGGGTTTTTTGGTTTGTTTGGGTTTTTTTTCTACCAGGTATCTGTTTAGCAATTTCAGAATACAAAAGACCGTATTTCTTCTACAAATTCCATGAGAATTCTTTAAGAATAGAGGTAAAAAGAAATAACGAGAGAGGGAGTACTATTTCATAGGTGTTGGATATTTAGCTGTGTAGAAGATGCCTGCAGGTCAATGACCTTTGGCAGCCTGAAGATACTCATTGAACATGCTTAATGTTACAGTTAGTAACACGGAACATGACCACTCCCTGCTCTCTCAGATTAAACTCAATGTTGACATTCCATACCGTATTTTATAAACTACCATCTAACAAAAACTTATTATTTATATTGGATTATAGATTATCATTCTATTATTATATATGTAATTACATATAATATACATTGTTATACTGTTACATATTGCTCTTATTTACGTAGAACTATTATTATTATTAATACAATCAGATTGTATAAAATTATACAATCAAACAACTAAGATTTTCAAGTCATGAGAAGGAATTAACCCAAATTATGCTTTACCTATACACTGGATGGTAAAAGCACATGTGCTCCAGGTCATCATAGGAATCCGGTAATCAGCTTCATTTGGAGCAACTTTTAGCCCAACTCTATAAATGGTGGTGGCAAAGAGAATAAGCATCTCCTTGATACTGCTTGAGTATTTGGCTCTGCAAAAGCAAGCCAAGATAATTTCAGTCTGGATTATTAATAGTGCTTATTACTTACCAGTCAAATCAATCACTAACAAAGTCTAAGTTATTTATGAAAGAATAATTGAATACAAAGGCCCTTTGTTTGTACAGAGAAGAAAAATATTACTAGTTTCCAGTCATGAACAAGTACCTTGACATAACGGGCTCTATAAATTGAAAGATTAAGAGCTGCCAGGCTAGAAGGCGTCTATTTCTGTATACTGTATTATAATTCACATTCAAAAAATGCAAACATTTAAATCAAATTAAAATACAATGAAAAAAACAAATGTGAGTAAGCAAGTGTAATTATAAGTGCTGGAGTCAAAATGTATCTCATCTCATAAGGCACTAAAAATGGAAAGAAAGACATTTCAAATGTGTTCTAGAACACATTTTTTAGCATTTAAGCGCCTTTCAACTGACATTGGGTTAGTTTATGTAAATGCAGTTATATGCAGAAAAGTGCCTAGGCAAAAATATGTACAGTTTTAATGGCTTGTGTTTTTTCCAGAGTCATACACAGAATTTCGTAACAGAAATATATGACATTCATATTAATTCTCCAAATCTCTACAGCCAAAACAATTGTACCATGAAGTCTGGGGTTTAGCCAGGCTTATACACCGCATTGTTTAGTCCAAACCATAGAATCTTTCCCATGGAGATCAGTTATCAAGAAAGAATTTGATTCAACTCTCTGATGACATTTTTACAAATAGCAGATACATATAAGTACTTTGCATAACTATGATGTCAGTCAGAAGCAGCAGAAGTAGAGTACTTATAGTGTGATCTAAAAAGAAGACAAGACAGCTGAGTACACTTGAAAAGCATCTATCCATTCATTCTGTTGTAGTGGGAGAGCACTTCTGCCCACTGGAATAGAAACAGGTAACACAGCCCTATTCCTTTGAGTAATCTGTATTACATTACCACATGCAAAACCAAGTGAAATCTATCCCTGAAACAGACATATAGCAGGAAAATTAAGGCAGACAGACATTAAATAACTTGCCTAGAAGCACAGGAAGTGACCCAAATCACTGGAATTATGGATTAGAAGATTCCAGACTCCTAGCTTTGTACCAAGAACATAATAACTACCAGACTGGATTTGACCAAGAGGTCCATCTAGCTCTGTATAGATCTGATAGTCAGTGAATGCTTAAGTATAAGTAAGCCCATAATCAGACCAAACAAATCACATGCCTTTCCTTCAATACAAATCCTCAAGTATACCTAGGTTATTTTAGGGAGAATTAACATAATGCAGAGAGCACTTCCAGTAACACTTACGAGGACTGAACACCAAAACTAAGGATGGAATGGAATTCCAAAGCAGAGTTCCCCATTCCCTTGTTGGCAAAAGCTGGAAGATTTGGTTTCTCTCCTTCCAGAAAAAAAAAAAAAAAAAAAAAAAAAAAAAAAAAAGATCCACATTAAAAACCAAAGGAGTTGTTACAGTTTTTACAGCAGTCTAACAGAAGTGAGACTTCTTTTTATTTTAAACTGGTTTGAAAATAATTCTAAACAGACCTCACCAGCCAGACTGTCTTCTAACCCTCCTCCTTAATTAACATTTTCCTCTATTCCCAGAAATATGAGGATTAAAAATAGTGCTTTGTTGGCAAGGAAAAAGAACTGTCCTGCATTGTAAGAGTGCAAGGAATACGTTGATTCTCTGTACTTTCTGTTTTCTACACACTCATACATGTTTTTATTTTGTCCTTTTATAATTTAATTTCTCTCGTTTTTACTACATCACAGTCAATACAAAAGTTTAAATAACTCAGAGTGTTAGTTGGTGGCTATATCCTCTCCAAGTCTACATAATTTTCTCCTACAGGGAGGATGGAAAGAATTTAACAGAAACCAGAAAATTGGTGAGGGCACTGTGAAATCAAGACACCAGCTCAGAAAGGGCCATGACTTTATCCCCAGCTTTATTTGATACTGTCTTGATCGATAGCAAAATGTATTTTTTATTTGAAGTTTTCTGTTGGTATTAGTTAAAACATGTAGTGGCATTATTAGATATCCCACAGAATAGCTTCAAAATTAAGATAACAAACCTTTAGCGTTTTTCACACTGTAGCCTGATATCCTGACTGTGATAATCTCCAGCCACCTAGCCAGGGACAGAATTTGAGCTACTGCCTCTGCATCCTCACTGAAAACAGGAATAGAAAGCAGGTTTTATTTTAAGACTCAAAGATTCACCTTATCTTTAAAAACAGAGGACACACTGAGATTTGCACAGTTTTGCTGACTTTGTAAATTTTGAGCAAACAGTACAAAAGGAAGCGTTAGGCTAAATACTAGATCTATGTACTTTCTCATTTGATATCAGCATCTGACATCAGCTTTTAAAAAAAAAAATTTGACTGCCAAAAGCAGCATATTTGGCTGAATAGTCAATAAGGAGATATGCAGTCTTTTATACAGACTAGGAAAGTCAGCCTAAGTTTTCCTTCCAAAAATTTGAAAAGCCAACCAGTCCCAAAGTAATTTTTTTATTTTTTTTATTTTTTTTTTAATTAAAGGCTATGCAGTCTGGTAATTCACCTGTTTATTTTCTGAGCCTGCAATGGAACAATAGGAATCACAGTATTGCACAGAGATTTGCAAAGTGGACAAAGATACTCTCCATTCTCCAAGTCAAATATCTGTTCAACATGTAGACGCTGTCGAAAGTTCAGCTGCATGGCTTCAAAGTACCTACAATATTGAAAAGGAAATTACTAGAAAGTGGAAAGGCTCAAACATGACATGAAAACAAATGTTCAAGTAATTAAAAGTGTTACTATCTAGCAAATACCTATCCAATCCAACAAACAAGTCTTTTCCTTTGATTTGTAACTCTCTCACATGCTTGGATGTGAAAATAAAAGAAAACCTTTGAGCACATAGATGAACTCATGCAAAAATGCATGGTCTACCACTCCTGCAAAAATGACGGCAACTTTTCCTTGCTTTTAAGATCCTTTTAAATTTCATTAACATTTTTACAGACAAGCAGTACTTAAATTTTCTACTCTTCTCTCACATCTTCAACGCAATGAAACATTGTATCTAATATCTCTCACATGCAACTTATTACAGTAAGTCTGAAACAGGGATTGTACATATCTTTCTTTAATTTTAGGAAAAACTACCGGTAACATTTCATGAATGAATAATCAGCTATTCACAGCAATGACTGAGACTCATGACTAGACAATGAAACTGTAGCCTTCTTTTAACAGGAAGAGAGGACAATTTATATTACAATATCGCACTTCAGCTTTTTTTTTTTTTTTTTTTTTTTTGCTTTAAATCATACATCTTAAGGGGGAAAATAAAATCCCATTTCTGTAGTAAGAGAAAATGTGCGTGCAGGGGCAATCTACGGAAGTTGTAATGATTACAGAATATTTAGGAAAGTATTCTGTGTCAATCAACAAAAACATACATTTAGTTTCCCACATTCAAACATGTTTTTGCAAGCAACTCCCCTTTCTCATACATGGCAACTACAAAGATATTCCATTCATTTGAACTCATACTGTTTTAGAGAGTATTTTGCAGTATTTTTAGGCTGCACAGATACTCTAGAAAGGCGTGGCAGGCATCGTTTGGAGGAATATTAGTAAGTTAGAATGTCTGTTATGTAATAAGTAAAAGACTATACTCAAACCTTCTGTGCCATCCCGTATGAGAAGAGCCTGTTGTCCATTTAAATCCCATTTACCCATACAGCAAGTCACCTTTTCTTAAAAAGAGCAAGGGAACTGAGCTCCAGTGTTGCACTACTTAGATTTACGCAGATGTAGATGGATCTGCCAAGAGCAGATGTATTATACTCAAGGAACATACTTCCGTATCATTTTAAGTGTGTGCACCTATTTATTCTGTGCTAATGGTTTATTGTAAAAAAAAAAAAAAAAAATATATATATATATACACACACACACACATCTAGAAGAGTAAATGATAAGCACTAGAAGTTTACTCAGATTTTTTAAAGTAAAATGGCACAAGTACAAACAACAAACCTCAAGAGATTGTTTATATCATACAACAATATAAAGTAGCTTGCAATTGCATGACCCGACTCTCTTTATCTGTTGATAATCCTTCAGTGGGATTACTTCTATTATTTCTTCACACTATTTATCTTGTTTTGACTTGCCAGACCTATGTGGAGTCAAATGCAGAGAGCATTAGTTTTGCTCCCTGTAATCCTACAAATGTAGCTGCAACCAGGATGACTATAATCTGCAAGCTAAGTAAATTGTCTTTTAATATTTCAGGTTGCATTCTAATCCAACACACTTGGTCTAAATTGTAGGCTCCCCCAAAAAACAGAAATCCAGTAAAGTTTTTAAGCACTGTATCAATTCTTCCCTCTTACTTTTTATTAAGAGTTTGTTCACCGATAGGGGAGGGGTGGGGAAGAAATATTGGTAGATTTAACCATTCATATTCTATTCTAAATGCCAGATTCTCATCTAAAGACTCACTGAAATAAGTCAGCTTCATCCTTTAAGTACTGACCTGATGACAGACTTTCAGAGTCAAAGCACTGTTGCTATAGAACGCTCACCTGGAAGATTCCTACTGGTTCTCATTGGATTGCTAAAAATAAACCTACTATATATGGTTTCTTATTCTTGACCAATTTTACCCCATTGGTTTTATTTGCATAAATTAGTAACTACGTAGAGATTCGTCTTTGGGTCACAGAAGGCACTAAAAACTTTTGATGATGATTTTCTTCATCAGGTCAAAAGTTCTCTTGTGCCATATTTCATTTTTAGATAAGTACAAATAATTTTGACTCCTTAATTAAATATCCACTTACTGCACTGTGTTTTCAGTGTGCACTTAGATGTTTTGGAAAATAGATTAATAAGAAAAAAACATCAAAAGGCTGCAAAGACACATCCTTACTTCTGCCAGCAGGCTGCATGCATCACATGACCACAGCTCCCTGTGTGGGTCCCACAAGGTAAGTCAGGGTGCATGAAGAGAGGATCTAGCGTATCTAGAAAGACACAGCAGAAAGAAGTTATTAAAAGAATAACGTAACTTCCCATCAGTATGAACAGAAACGAACAACAGTATACGCAGAACACAAGCCTTCAGATTCTATTTTCCCACACTTCACAATCACATTACAACCCCATTTGGCTAGCTTTGCCAGACCAATACACCAGCAAAGTAATCACAAGACAGAGCCCACTTAAACTACTGAAGGCTTCCCACTACTTATGAAGAAAAAGATGACAAAATCCAAAAGCAATAGGAAATTGGTTAAAAAAAAAAAAAAAAAAAGGGGTTCTTTAGTACTGGAATAGCTCTGTGGTTGGATTCGCTATCACTGAAGTTTTTAATGTATTTGTTACTGTATTTTTAAATGAAAAAAGATGAAACTACTAAGGACAAGAAAGATTAGGCATTTCTCCAACTAATCCCGTATATTTTCAAACCACTGGCACTGCTGAATAACAAAGTCAAGTCTATCTTTTACTAATCTTGCATAATCCTTAACACCAAAAACGTTATGAGAATGTAATGGTGTCTTTGTGCTGCATATGCAGATTCCATTTTTCCCTTAAAGATATCTGAATAATACTGAACTGAACAACCGCAGTCCTCCAAACCTTATCTGGTAGACTGTTCATGATTTTGAACGGATACACCTGAATTTGACAAAATGAAAGAGAAAAGAAATGACAAAAACGCCACAAAAAACCTAGCACCCACATTGCACTGAAAATATAATTCTATTCAACAGCAGCTGAAGCTGCTCTAAATCAAATGGAAACTGAAATATGAAAGTGAACCTTGGTATAACACTGATTTGCCACTATCTGCACTTCTGCTGTGGGAGAAAGCATTTTTCCACTTATTTAGATCTTCAAAGAAAGAACGGCTCTTACAGGCCTACTTCTAACTGATGAGCTGCAGAGGACCATGTAGTACAGAGTAAGTGCTATAAATAATAACCAGAAGTGGCTTTAGGAAAAAGGAGCTTCATTCCCTTCTTTTTTCAATTGTTTCAATAGCCCAACATGCCACTGCAGAAAGCTTACAAGTGTATCTGACTACAGGAGCATAAGACTTAATTTGTACTTCAGAGTACCACAGAAGAGAGCAAAAAAAAAAATGAACACAATTACATGGCCTAGATAAAAATTCTATACAGCTGGCTCAAAATTGCCATTTTCAGTAGTTTGCTGTTAAAAAAGAAAAAGGGATCAAACAGGATACTGTAGGAGCCTGTCCTGGGTCTAGGACTATTCAGTATTTGTTAACGACCCAGAGAAGGAAACACAAAACATCTTATTAAGCAAATCAACTTGGTAAAGGTTTGCAAGCGTGACAGAGAATAGGGTAATACCCTGGAGAAATAAGATACAATGCTGAACTTCCCTTTGCTTTAGAATTCTCTTTGATAACATTCGAGAGTGTACTTCTAAACTAAAGCAGAAATAATGAACTGCACAAACACAGAATTTAAAATCTATTTGCTGGACAGTAGTGTCATTAAAAAAATAGGACATAGGGTTCATTTTGCTTTATGAGATGACCACAAATCAACAATACCCTGTTACAAAACAGAAAAACACATATTTGAAAATAAGTAGGAATTTAAACTACAAGTTGTAACATCCTTGCTATGCAAAGGCAACAAACTAGAAAACATCTTGAGAGCACTTACAGACCTCAAATTTTATTATCTTTCAACACTGCATCCTTATTCCTTATATTTCAGTTAGCTTGAGTAAGCAGGATTTGAAAAAATGATTGACTCAGCTTTATAATAAAATATGGGCAGATACATAGAGAATGTATATTGATTAATAAAAATTTAATAGATAACAGCTATTTAATTTTTTTCTGTGTTAAAATAAAGGTAGTTCAATTTACAGGGAAAAAAATTATCACTTTTAATTATTATTTAATATTATATTGTGTTTGAATCAAACTAGTAGTTTTATGGTGAGATGTATATTCACCTTGGGGTGATTTCACCTAAACAACATTTGCCTAGGTTGCATATCAAGCAGGACAGAGCCAAAAATTCTAATAAACATGAGAATAAATTAGGTTACCTTCTCCTTACCCACAAAACTAGCCATCCTGGTCAAAGAATTAGGGTGGCCTACTAAGTTCCTTTCTTGACAAATCCATTTTTGACATTTCTTACTGCTTTATTGTCTGTCTTTATTTTTTATATTGTCTTATAAACTCATAATAATTACTATCATCCAACACATTTCTGGGCATCCAGGCTGGCTAGAATATTCAAACTTTTAGTACCTTCTCACTTCATTTTTTTCGGTGTTTTTTTAAAGACAAATACTTGTTTACCCTTCTTAGCCTTCTGAGATCTCAACTATCTTCTACGCATTTTAAACAATAATTAAAAATTATACTGAAGACAATGGTTCTGATAGTACTTTCAATATTACTTTAATAATTGCCAAGGTGAATACACTGAAGTTACCTAGATATTGTTTCAACTTTTCTTATCCTATTCTGGACTGTATTTCTCTTTTGTTAAAATTAAGAGCCATCAGGCATCTGATCTTGAATTATTATTATTTTTCTTTTTCACAAAGAGAGCAAAAAAAGTCAGCGAGTACTTAAGTTTTTCCTTTCCTTCTATTTATTTTCTTTCTTTCCCTTAAGTAACTGAGCAAAACCTTCCTCATGTTTAATCAACTGTCACTTACAAAAAATTCTGGTTGGTCTTTGTGTTTCCTGATACCGATATGATATTATGCAACTCTAACTCTTGTGTTGGTATTACTCTCTTGCATTCATTTTTTTTTTCCATTCATCAGATGATATCATATGATCCTGGCTTACACTTCTCTTTTTTTTTTTATGTTGCTGTTTATTACTTCCTGGACATTAAAAAAACAAAACAAACAACCAAAAAACCAACACACCAAAATGCCAAAAAAACCAAACCCTCCTAAGGCTGCCATATTGGCCTCTGATAATGTTCACGTATTTCCTCCATGTTGGGAAAGTTTGGTGCTGTACTCGAACAAACAGGAACTGTTAACATTCTTGATTTTTTTCAGCGTGACCACTCCTACTAAATCTCTAAGTTTTTAAAATCTTGTGAGATTAAAGCATCTTCTGACTTTCCAGGGATAAATCAAAATCTTCATCCACTTCTCATTTTTAAATTCTAAAGCATGGATTTTTGAACAACTTAATTTTTACTGTCTTTTTATTAAGTAGGGTAAGCCATTTTAGCAATCTGACTGAATACAGATTTCATTAGGTTCACAGGCTATGAGCTGTAGGTACAGAACTGCTTGTAGTCTAAAAGAAGAAAAATCACATACCCCCTGAGAGTTCAAGAATTCTGCTCCTATTCTGAGTTAAGGCAGTTGATTTCTGGACACAGGCAGATAGTACCATGGCAGCACTTTCCAACTTTACTTCCTGTTCCTCCTGACAAAGAATACAGGTCAGAACTTCTTTTTCAGCAACAGATGGACCTCGTTTGGGACCCAAAGCAATTTTGGAGCAATCAACTGCCGAGGACATGCTGTAAGACCATAAGTGATACAGATATAAAATAAATCGGATGGCTTTTTCTAAACAAACTTATTCTTCTAGGCATCTAAAAATGTCATAAATTGCTAACATTTCTAGTTTTATACCAAAGTGCTTTACAAAACCAAAAGATGACCAAACAACGAAGAAACACCTCAATCCTCATTAAAATACAGTATTCTTTAAAAATAGAAAGTGGAAGCCAGATAACATAGAATAACACAATGAAATGGATTCAGACAGCAGGAAATTCAGGAAGCTATATTCAATGTAGATTGGATTAAATATATTTTAATCTTACACACACATTAAAATTGTTTCGCATTCTTGAAGAAAACATACTGAAAATGAATGCCACTACCTTAATTCAATGTTTTGTGACACAATAAGCTTCCATATATTTTTTTAAATATTCCTTATTCCAGAGTTCAACAATGATTTATAGAACATGATTTATTAAAGATCAAAGCATACAGAAGTGATGTGCACTTTTTTCCAGCAGATATCTCTATTTTCCTGATTAGTTTTGTGCAACCCCTATTAGACCAAAATCGTGAGTCGTATTAGGTATACTATATTTTTGAAGCATCTCTAGAACAGGAGCAATCCATACCAACAAAATTATAACCAATATAAACCAAACATCTTCAGTATGAAATTAGATTTTAAAAATTAATGAACAGAAATATCAGTGACTTGAGCTACAAGAAGCATATTTTCTTCATTGCAACTTAACCTTAAGGCATATTGGCTTTCAGATTCTTTCCAAATTAAATACTTAAATTTTCATATAAGGTAGACAGTCACCTCCAAAATTACAGCGTTGTCAACTCAGCAGCTTGATGCAATCTGTCCCTTGAACGTACTTTCAAAATTTTTATGTAGCATAATGAACTTATGTAGCAGGTAATGAACTCTTTCCACCAGAACTCTGGATGTCTGTTTTTTCTTACCTTTCTTCCTCCATAATAGCATCTTCTTTTGCCTGTGCCTCCAGTGTGTTTTCATACAGGAGCTTATGGGCTTCAATAAAATTCCTCTGCAGTGCAGACATCTGGGCCATTATCTTCTGACGGTGCAACCTAGCTGCTTCTGCCTTTCTCTTCCGCTCAGCTTTCTCTTTATCCTGAGTGCTCTGTGTCTTACAATAAAATAGAACAAAGAAATCACAGGCAACAGAGAACATCAAAAAAAATGAGAAGAATCCTTCCCCAACTATATGCATTCTAACCACTGACATCAAATTCCTTAACTGACAACACTTTAATGATTAAAAAAAAAAGTTAACTGCGATCTGAAAAATGTAACACTAAAATCTTAAATGTTGACTAGGTTCATTAACCTAGTCAGAAGAAAGAGATTTTCAGGGGTCCACAAAAGGTCACTAGTACAATCCCTTGTCCAAAGACAGGATCAATAATATGTGATCCATTTTAATTAGGTGCCGGTCTATTCTTAAGAAACTTTACTGAGGTGAGCATCATAAGCCTCCTCCAGTGTTTTGTTATTCTCCCCATAAACGAAACCTCTACTGAGTATTCAGTACCCACCTTACAGGAATTTAAGAAGATTTGATCTTGAACTATCTATGGACGACACAGCAAACAGATAGTTCCTACATTTTTGTAGCAGCATTTTATGCATCTGAGGATTGTCTTTTCCCCTATTCTTCTTTATTGTAGACTGGAAAACTATTCTTCTTCCAGTATTTCCTCACCTATCATGTTTTCAAAAACTATAAACAAACTACTTGTATGCTTTGGAAGTGCAGAATTCAAAAAACACGTCTAGACTTAAAACATATAGAACCTAATTCCTCTTATTCAATTAATTAAGGCACAAATTCAACATTATACACATTGCTTCCATTCACGATACCATTACTTCTGAGGAAACGAAACAATAACAACAAATTGCTCCACAAGTACTGGAACTGTAAGAGTCTCATTTCTTACTGACTTTTGTATTTTGTTCCTTTACCTTACCAGATATCATATAACAGCTTTCTCAAAAAAGAAACACAGCATATGCTGTGATAAGTTTAGAGCTATGCATGCAACGACTAGCCAAGAGATTGTTTGGCAGCAAGCTGTTGCCAAACAGAATGTGTAAGAGCAAACTGGCCTGTCTTTGCACACTAAGGGTAATCGGATTCTTCTTTTCTATTCAACTGCCAATTTAAAACAAAACAAAATGCTCATGGGACCACAGTAATCTTTGAAATCTCCATTTCACTGTGTCATTTGACCACTGGATTCAAAAGTTATTTCGAGGAAAGGGGGTAGAGACTGATACACAGACAGAATAATCACCTAAGCCTGATGTCTTTATACAATCCAGGCAAAGCAGATTAACCTCTTGGTAGGTCACATAAATTAAAAGACATCATTTTAAATGGATTTGTATTTCTAATTATTGCACAATGACAACATAATAGAAAAGGTGGTCAAATCATAAAGATAAGAAATGGAGAAATGAACACAAATTACTTCTTCCCCCCCCTCGGTTGTTTCACTTAACTTGGAAGTACAACCAAAACCACATTAGCTGCTGATAATTCCATGAAACATGCTTGGTATAAATTTCATTTATTAAAAATATTAATCTTGGAACCTAAATCCTATTTTGTAGGCAATATATCAGAAATGAAATATTTTAAAAATTATCATTTTAGGTAACGATAAATCTAGGCACCTTTTTGAAAACAGCCATTCAAAGCATTAAATACAAGGTTTCCATTGAACATTTTTTATTATTATTACCTCATCACCTTTTGTAGCTTCTGAGCCTGATGTAGCTGCTACTGTTGTCAAACTAGATTTTTCTCTCAATCTTTTCACTGTGTCAAACATCTAGGAATAGAGATTAAATGTTAAAAATAAAACATGATTTGGCTCTTATTACAATACAGACAGGATTAAAGCTCTTGATATTTAGTTTCATGTTATTTTCAGATTTTCATATGAAACCAACTGCCATACTCCTCAATAACAAAAACATCTAATGGAGACTGTATGTGCACTCCTGTAACACTCCTGTGTCTGTATCCTAAACCTGATGAGCACTACTTAGTAAGAAGGGAAGTAAAATTTTTCCAAATTTTCTAGTCTTCTAGCACTAATACTGCTAAGCAGCTGAAGCATCTGTACTTCAGAAGAATGGACAGAGACTGCTAGCTTATTTCAAGTAGGAGAGATGTGGATCATCCCATGGAAACAGTCACTAAAACCATGCAAAAACCTATACATCTGGAACAGAAAGCTTTCCAGCATATGCTCAGTTAAAACTGAGCTTTCAATTTTCATTTACTACTTTCTCCAGCTGTCTTTAATAAGCATCTTGAAGTTTTGATAATATTAAATATTCTACATTTCCTATATGTATCATTAAAAAGCTAAATATACTTTTAAAATTACATTTTTACTTTTGCCTTTAGAATTTCAGAAGAATAACTTCTCAAAAAAAATCTTTCAAACTTGCCTCCATAGTGTACCAGGATAGTCCAATTTTAGTAGCCGAGGATAGTTTTGGAATCCTGCTATGGATTCTTACCCTCTTTTCCAAAAGCACTGTCTTCTACATTTGCCACCTAAACCAAGAGGCCACCTAAATCAAGAAGCCCAAAAGGGAACAGGACAGTAGTACTCCTGCTAAGCAGAAGCGGCAGCCTCCTACGTTAGAGAAGGTGTCACAGCTCTAGAAGTTTTTCCCATCTCTTACTGGGTAATGGCAGGGAGTTGGACGGAAAAATTCCACAGGTCAAATGTACAATGTGGCCATTAGTCAGATCTGTATGACTCAAGTCTTAATACAAGCAGCCTCTAAAATGATTTCCCCATTAATAAACTTCTACTTATCACTTGCTGTTATTTTGCAACAGAAATATGAGGAATAAAGTTGATGTATAAAAGTGTCATTACTGGAATGAACTAGCTAAGCAAAAATTGACCCAATACTTGAAAGTAGGAATAGCAAGTACAATGCCTTGTGTTAACGCAGTATTCAAGAAGCCATCTCATCTGGGGCAGTGAAGTAAATGTTAAAACAGATTACAGCTTCTCAAGAAATCATTGCAGCTGTAAACACTGGGTTACACGTAGGAATCATAACATCTTTCATAAATGCTGTCTAAATTACTAAAATCAGATCATACTTCTCTCCCCCTTGTGTACCTGCAGTATCCAATTGACTGTGTCCTTCTGTGACTCTAACTGAGGAACTGTCTTTAATTTTTCCAGAAGCATTAACACGTTCACAGCATTCAAGGCTGAGCTTCCCATTCCTTTACAAAGGAGAGAAAAATAGAAAAGCATCGGTCTTCCGGGGAAAAACACACCCTCGACATTTTAATGTATTTACAACCATGGACATACCTTAAAATATTGCTAATTAAATAACACACACACATGAACACAACCTGTGTAGTTACATTTCTGTTTTCATTTCATCTGTTTATTCCAGTTAAACATAGTATAATCTTTCCCCCTTGTAGATCAATGATTTTTGCTACTTCCAAGAGCAGAAGTACAGACAAAAACAGAATTGCCTTTCGCTTCAAGGAGAAGCAGTAAAGCTCTTATAGCTTACTTAAGTTTGCTAACAGCTCCATATGCACAAGTTTATTTCTATCACAAAAACTATTATAATTACCATAATTATTTGCTTCCTCACATCTTGGTAACAGTTCATACCATTCTAGGCCACTCTCTAACAAAAGCATGCTTTAAAATTGACAACATTCTCTTCGATTATATTTCTTTTGCAGCACTTTCCATTTGAAATTAATTTGCACATTTTTAGAAGTGAGACAAATACATTAGGGGGGAAAAATTATTTATTTGTTTAAAAAAAAAATCACTTCTCAGTACGAGTTTTCTTACAAAAACATGGATTATTTTTGCATCCCTTATGTATAAATAGGGCGTCAGTTTTTCTGGTTATGCAAAACTAAAGCGGGCAAAGAATTCTCGAACATCTCAATTGTAATTACTTTTAGTGTATTCTTGTAGTTGACATGAAGCTTCTTAAACAGAAATACATTCAGTGTAATAATACTTCTTGCTCAACAATAAGAAAAAAAATTTAAAAAGTGAAATGGAATTCTTTTTCAAACTCAGTAACACCTCTTTACACAATATTTTTTAAAAACTAAATAAAGGCAGTTCAGTAGCTTTATGTATGTAATTATTTATTTATGTAGGAGGTATTTACGAGAGGTGTAGATGTGGTGCTTAGGGACATGGTTTAGTGGTGGACTTGGCAGTGCTAGGTTAACAGTTGGACTCAATGATCTTAAAGGTCTTTTCCAATGTAAATGATTCTATGATTCTACTTCACAATTCTTATCTCTGTGTCATCTCTCAAGTGACAATTATGTTTAGCTTGATAATAGAATTTTTTGTAATTTATTCTTACACAGCGAAGCAGAAACTCTAGATAAGATGGAAGATTATTTAGAAAATGTAGATTCCAACTCCCATTCACTAGTCTTGAATGTAAGATTAGGAAGTGCTCTGTAGAGATTTGGAAAAGTAGAGAAAAAGAAAAAAGCGCACTTCATAGCCAGTAAGTTTTGCTTCTATTATCACTAGGAAAAGGCTTTAACTTTCAGGTAAATCAATATTTGTACAGCTCAGGAGTACAAAAGATGGAGACAGTTCACTTAAATCCATTGTAATTTTTTAAGGAGTTCTTAGTTTCCATTTCAATAACGTTCTTGCAAAGGATGAACCATTTTCAGTTATCTAACGCTAGTATTACTTTTCCATTTCTTTCCCAGAAAGATAAGCACATCTCCTCTTCAACATATCTGGCAACTGGGAACAAAGGAAGCTAGTCCAAATCTGGTTTCTTGATTATGTAAAAAAAAAAACAAAAAAAATTTCAGCAGGTTTTAATTCTATAGCAAAAAGTAAATCCTTTCTGACTGAAATCACTGAACACTTTCTTCTAGTTTATTTTTGTCCTTACAAAATAAAGTTAGCCTAATTTACTCTGCCCTTTTAAAGAAAATGAAACATACGTGTTGCTTTGTGATAAAAATCAAAGGTTACTTCCTCTTCTGGAGACTGCTGTAACTGCTGCCTCTCTTCTAGTAACCCTAAAGAAAGGAGATGAAGCACCTAAAAAAAGAAAAAAATAGTAAATCTCATCCACTGTTAGAGGTCTGGAAAACTGGCGTATAAAATAAGGATGTTTAATACAGTTCTGTACTATATGCTGATTATATCCATGATAAAACAGCGAAATGAGAAAAAGTGCAGAGATCATACAGGGAAAGTGAAATAACAATGCATAAAATAGTTTTCCTGCATATTACTTGCACTAAAATTAATAGACTTGCACACACTTTACATTAGTAACACAGGAATCTTGACATTTTGCTGATCCAAGTCTATGAATATTTGGTTAATTCCATAATCCAAAAGATTAGCAGGTAGGGCATGGCAATTAAATAATTTGTGCACTCTAAATAACAAAACTGATTAAATCAATCAGTCTGTAAATTGAGGTCCTAATCATATAAATATTAAAACAGAACAAAACCACAAAAAACGCAAAAAAACAACAAAACAAACCTTCAACAATGTCAGTAATTCCTTTTTTTTAAAAGCATAAAGTCACTGTGTAAAATGAAATGTTTAAATACTTACAAAATTATATTATTTCATGACTGAGGCCCCAAAGACATTTACATATTTGGAGACTTTCAGCTTACAAGATGAAGCAACTCCAATTTCATTAAGATGATCAAAGGGTTACTTATTTGCATATGAAGTTTGAAGAAAAAGATGAGGTAAGGAGAATTACATATTGAAACAGCTTCAGTAATGAGGCAACACAGGGGGAAAAGCAAACCAGAAAACTGAAGAATATTCCCAATTTAATACTACTGTGTTTCACATTCCTATTTTACAGTGGAGATAAATAATTAGAAATATTTTCTTTGTCAGGAAGATTTATAAAAACAGGTTTGAGGACAAAAAGTAAATTCTTATCATTCAAAGATAAAGTTTATCTTCAAACATTTTGATCTTATAATAAGCAGTTAACATGGTCAACACAGGAATGACCACAGGAAGAAGACCAAAGCTAACCATACCATTTGGATCATAGCTTCAGTCCACAAGTGGGTTTCCAGTTCTACTGCTCTCTGAAGAATGGTCCGCAGTATGTGCATCATAACATCACAGTTCAGAATCCTCACCACATTGCTGAATGCAGGACTGAAGTCTGGAGGAGGAGGTGGTGGTAATGCTAGAAAATGGAGATGTGCAAATATATTAACAAACTGGCATCTCAAATATTGCAGGCAAAAAGTAGAGAGTGCAAACATAGTAATTCCAGTGAAAGAACAACTGGACCTTTAAATTAATAAAGCCACTCTCAAACACAATTGTTCACTTAAGTCAGCTTTTATCTTTAGCAAAACTAAGTACTTCTAGTAAGTTCTTACATAAAACACATGCAAACTAAGCTAAACAATCAATCAGAAGTACTTAGTTGTATCTATAAATGCAAATCTTTAATACTTTGCACTGCCTTATCATTTAGGTATCACTAATAAGAGTGTTTGTGTTTTGCATCAGCTATGAAGTTTTCAAGTAGTTAAACAAGATTGAGCAGCAGATCTCCCAGAGTATGGTGTCTCCCATTACAGTGTCCCATGCCTAATATGGCTGGCGCTCCAAATTCTTCCTGCTACTGGGGCATTCTGATCATTTCTAGCTATATACATTTTCTGAGCTGATACTGAAACTGTGTGATGTGGTGTCTCACCCAGAAGCCACCTGGAATCTTGGCATCTACTAACAGCAGCTCAATTAACACTGCAGCCTTGCCCTACCTGGAAGCATTGACTTAAGTCTTCCTTTGGTACCTGGATGCCTATTTTCAAAACACTTCTATGAAGGCAGTGTCTCTGAAACCATCAATCTTTTGACAATTTAGACTGAATGAATTATAAAAAGTTACTAACAGACAACACAGCCACATAAAAACATACGCATGAAGTATTTACAACAAAATGGGTAGCCTCAAGGGAACACACATCAACATGAACAGTTATCTTTGTATTTTGGAACTGTATTGTCCGATTACATGAATGTGAGTTTCTGACAACTACATCTAAATATCTGCATTTTTTTTAAAGAGTTCTACAAAATAAATGTCCCTGCTAACATTTTAAGTTACTAAAGTAAATGGGGAGGGGGAGGGGAGGGGTGCGTGTGGCAGAAATTAAGAAGGTACTATTGAAAGTCTGTCAACTGTAAAAAATAAGCGGTGGAGGAAGAAACCAAAAGTAATCCAAAGTTTTTTTTTTCCCCATTATTTTCCAGCTGTCATAATCTTCTGAGCTACTTGCAACTGAAGGAAATCACATTTTTTTTCCAAAGAGAATGTGATTTCCAATTTAACTGTGTCCCTCCTAAATGACAATGCCAATGTACTCTTTTTCAGTTCCACAATTTTTCAACTGAAAGGAACCCAAAGCAAATAAAATCTACTCAGAATGAATTTTAACCATCTTAGGTATGAAATGCTGTAGTGCCCCTGATTGTACAGAAAAATCAAAATATGCTTTCGAGTAGGAAGTAACAATTAAGGTATTCAACTGGAAGGGCAATCTGGGAAGAGAAAAATAATTATATCTGTTGCAACTCACAAAAGCAAGTGGATAGTTGATTGTATTAAATTGTTCATTGTACTTATTCGTTCAGCTTACAAAATCTTCCTCAAATCAACTCAATTAATGCTCGTGACTTGAATGGGCAAAAGTAAACTCAAAAGGGAAATAACAACATTTGTGTTACAATAGAAACATGGGGTTTTATTGTTATATGTATTTGCAGCTTGTAAAGAAGAAAATTTTGATTTATAAAACTTAAGTCTCAAGCTCCTTACAAAACGGATATGTGCACTAGTTCCCGTGGCAGCCTTCTCTACATAGCATTATTATGTCTCAATGTTGTGCTACATAAACTACTCACAAAGCCAAAACAAAAACCCCAAAACAAAACCAAAAAAACCTTTTGTCTCCTAGTTACTCTGCCATAAAAACTCTAAGTTGTTCATTTTGTCAATGGGTACTATGCCATGTTTATTTGTCTACATGGAAATTAAACTAACAATTCCAAAACTCTTACCTTTGTGTTACAAAAAGGAAAAAAACAAAAAGAAACGTCAGGTGCTAGTTAATTACAATTACTACAAATCACAACAAATTTAATATGAACTCAACTATCCACAATTAAGTCACAAGACATCTCGCAAAGCTCATTTTATATGCACTACATACACTACTGAATTATCACATTTGTTGAGTCTTCAGTTTCAAGTTTTTACCTTCATCTCTGTTTTCTTGTTTTCTTCTTTTCTTTTGTGTATGTTCAGCCTACAGAAAAAGCAGTGTTGTTATATCAGTATCTCTACAGAAGCACGTAATGAAACAATGAGAAACCTTAAACTAGAAATGTGGCAAGATACGTAGTCAATACTTGGTCATGTAACTAGAATCTTGTCTGAAATCTGTTTAACAATATTGTATTTTGCATTTCAATTTGTAGTAAAGAGAAATAATTGGACATACTTGCTTCCTCAGTAAGAGTTATAAAGCAAAGCTTGGGGTTTTCCAGTTCAAAGATAATTCTTATCATATTTTGTTCTTAGCATAAACAGTTAACAGAGCTAATACAGAAGTCGCCACAGGGAAAATACTAATGCAAATCATACCATGTCAATTTGTATTAACGATCTTAACTTCATTAGAAGTTTAGGTTTTAAGTTAGCTGCATATGCCCTTTACTGAACCGTTTCTTCAGATTCCATTAATTCCTTTGATTCAGCAAAATTCTTTAGACATCGATAAGTATGTACTATTTTTTAACCTTTGAGAGTGAATCTTACACTGCTTACCTTGCTGTGCTGTGTCTTAGTATAGTGATAAAAGAACATATTGAACTCCTTCAAGCATTCATCTTTCAGTTCATAAACTCCATGGCCAGACACACCCGGTTTCCTTATAGAGAAATATTTCATGACGTACAGATTACACACATCTTTGAATGTAAACAAACCAGTAACACAATTTATTTTCTAAGGAAATGCTAATGAGAAGTGGAATAGTGATGGTTGCTTCATTAACTTGTAAAGAGCACAGAGTGAGTACAGTTATCAGTCTTTAATTTTCAAGACTGTTTACTACTGTAAATCCTACCCAGCAGCAAAATATTTCTAGTCTATACCATCTACAGCACACCATATAGCCTCTGACAGGTAAATTCGTTTTAACTTTATGGTTTAGAATTTCAGACATTGGATGTTATTATATAAAATTCATCGCTTGCTTTAACCAAGGTACAAAACAAGTAATACAAACAGCTACTTTCTAGCCAGTGAGATTTTTTGAACCTCCTATATAATTCCCAACGCAAAATTCCTAGGTACGCCTATAGTTGCCCTTGATTAAACATAAACAAGCAAGCCACATGAAATTTAAAATAAGGTATACTAAAATAATTAAAATTCCAAGACATTTTTGTGACAAAAATAGCAGACATTTGAGCTAGTTTTTCTCAGCTTCTACAACTGATTGTTCTATATTTGCGCACACACACACACATATATATATGTATGTTAAAAAAAGTTAACTCCCATCTCAAAGTTAAAGGAAGTTAGCAACTAAATAACATCTAAATCAATGATGAGGTGGTGATTGTCAATGGTACAATGAGTTGTTAAGGTTTCCAACCATCTTTGAAATAAAATAAAAACTTTTGAAGATTTTCCCACTAAGACTTGAGATTACTAAACTCCTGAGACTTCTCAAACTGAATTTGAAGAAAGAGGGGGCCAAAAGGAGAGAAGCGGCAGCTTCGGATATTCCATATACTTTTCTTTCCTATGCATATTTGAAAGTGTATATATTTCAAGACACCAAATATTAGCTGAACAGAGACTGTGCAGTGCAGCTTGTTTAACCCATATAATCTAAGAGATCTTATTTCACGTTCAAGCTACTTATAAAACAATATTAAGAACTTACTTAAATGTAGCCACTTTATCAATTACATTCTCCAAGCCAGTTTCATTGTTCTCCTGGTAAAAAATTTAGTTTGGGATAAATATATAATGATTCAAATATCTTCAGTATTAGGCTAGGTGTAACAAAAATAGACATACAGATTTAGATCAATTCCCTAATTCATGAATTAATATATTTTGCCCGCTGTTATTCAGAAAGCAGATACTCATAATTGACAAGTTACGAGGAAGCACCAAAGGCAAATAATACTTTCATTTAATCATGTAAAGTTTTATTTGTAATGGAGCTGATCTCCAGAAACAGAGCAGTGCCTTACCCAACCTCAATGGAGGAGAAAACAGAGTTTTAGTCTCTTAAAATAGTCACTGCGGATCACCCATTATTGGTTTCTGATACTATTCCATGCTATTTAATTTACAATAAAAATGAAGTTTTTTTGCATTGAGTGCCAGCCCTGAAAACTTGCATAGGCTATAAAATCTAATCCACATCCCTCTCCTTTGCTTGACTCTTCAACAGTTTGAATAAAATGGCAGGGAAATCCGTGCTTTTGAATAGACCTGTACAATACTTGACTTCCACTGGATCTGCACAGGTTTAAGTGATCAAAATTATAGGATCAAATTTATTGATAGTACACAGGGCAAAATGGAATCCAGCTGCATGGTCCTACAGGGCCGAAAGAGAAAAATAATTTTAAAACATTTCTTTTTGAATCTAGGAGAACTACAGCTGAATATTCTAAAAAATTCCACCTCTTCATCAAAAAGCACAATCCCCATATGAGCCTTTTCAGATTAGACCATACTTGAACCCATGACATTTACCCTTTACATCAGTAAGGTTTGTAAGTCCCTTTGTCATGCTATTTTGTAATTCTGAAACCATCATTTGAGCTTTATATCAGAAATTAAATGCTTCCATATAAAGATATGGAAGTTAAAGAAGAAAGAGACATAAAACAAGAAAAAGGTAAATTAAGGAAAAAAGTAAATAAACCAGGACTCACATTTTCAGGCAAGGACTTGGTAATTGCACTGTGAGCCATTGGTTCAATACATAACAGATGGATGATTTCTCTCATGATAACATCTTCTTTTGTCACATTACTCACTCCAGGCACGTATCTTTCCCCTACCAGAGTGAATCAAAAGGAGAAGAAGGGCAAATATGACAGTTATAAAGCAATTCTGAATTTTGCACATAGGTGATGCTACTGCTGGGATATTTCATAGGATAAGTTTGCATTTGCCAGAAACCTATCCCAAGTGTCTGAGAGGAAAAATGTTTTTTAGCCTAGCTTCCTAACAAAATGGGCTGAGATAAAAGTTTCTCTTCCTATTCTACTTAATAGCCAATTATGAAGTTATCTAACAGCTTTTTTCACTATGCAACCCCTAATGCTTCCAGTTGACAATACTTGTGTTACTGAAGCATCTATTTAAAACAGGCATTCTCCAGTATCCTCTCCATACCATCTATGAAAGTCATCAAGCCTGTTTTGTCAAACTGTAATAATTCATTAGTACAACAGACAGAAATGAAACTTACCCACAATATAGATGAGAATCTGTAGCATCTCTTCTATTAACACGTTACATTGTTTGATCAAATCCTACAAGAATTAGAGAAAGCAGTTTAAAAAAAAAAAAAAAAGGCAGGAAAATCTGTCAAATAACACTGAGCTCAGCCTTCAAATGCGCTGCTTCGCTGAAGCACTGTACCGTAAGAAGAAACCTCCAATCTAACAAGCTGGAAAAAATGCTTGCGCTTGTAGAGGAAATGTTATTCTGCAATTGAAGTGCAAGATTCACATGCAGGACAAGAAACAACAGCTAAAAATGTATCTCAAATGAAGGGTTATATGAAAGTTCAAGCCTCCAGAAGCGGCACAACAATCCAAGAAACTTCCAGCCAAAATAAGAACACATAATATGGCTTAAAAGACATAGAAGTTCTCTATAGAGAAGTCATTTACGTGGATTTTGGTAGATGCCCTATGAAATAAAGGTAAAAGAGGGCAAAACCTGCTTGTTGATTTTGAGTAAGCCTCTACAAATTCCAAATACAAAATAATTTATTTAACAACTAGGTCCTATGTTGACTGACTTTTAGTGTGGTCATAAAAATGCAGTTATTAACAGTAGCTAGTTTTTCTTATTCATGTTCCATAAACTCAAAGCAAACAAATTAATCAACAGAAATACTTGCCACCTACCTGATCTTTGGTGGGCTTGATCTTTTTGAAAGCATCAGCAAGCTCGTATCTCTGCAGTATCAGCAGGAGGAACTGGTTTGGATCCATAAGAGATGCACCTATCTATCAAAAAACCCAAGCTAATATGAACATCAGTTACTATTACAGGTCTTCATTAATTATGAAAAATACTTCTACCAAGAAAAAGTTTTAAAATCATATGAATTTAATTAAAAGAAATTCCATGAAAATTTTATAAGTCAAGCAAACAATGATTCAAAACATTATACCTGGAGCATGATGATGTCTTTATCATACATCTCTTCTCTGCATTTAACATCTTGATAATAGAATACCTGAGAAATAGGAAAACAAAATTCAAGTAGAGAAGTAATGTAAAGTAATGCAAAGTAATGCACTATCAAATGCGCACCAGTTCACGTCTAAGGCTTTTTTAAACTGTACAGCACCTTTACTGAGTAAGGGAAAGTCCCGTGTTTCCTTCGAAACAAACGTACTTTGATGGAAGTGAAAAATTTTTTTTCACCTATCCAGAGAAAGTCTATGCTGTACTTCTTCATACCCCCTTCCAAGACAACATAATTCTAATGGCTGCTACTGATTAAAGTCAAAACATCCTCCTTCTCCTACCCCAGTTATCAGACAGACAATTCTACAGGGGGCTACCAATATTTACTTTGATTTCACCAAAGGGTCCTGCAAAAGGTAAACACAGAAAATTTCTGTTGTCGGGGGGGAGGGGGGAAGTGAAGCCAAACCAGGCAAAACACAAGTACTTAAGGGCAGACTCTTCTTTTCACCTTTACTCTTGCAACAAAAAAGCCCGCAAGTATTATAAAATGTTTGTTATGTCCAGTTATATGGCCCTCAAAAGTTTAGTATGAGATTAAAATTCTTCTAACACTTATAAGCAACAGTACTAACAGTATTTATACAGTGATTTCTTTATCAGAACTGAAAGTAGTTTACAGTAGACGTCAGTAACATTATGACTGTTTCTGACTCTGTGAAATAGTATTAAGAAAGATGAAAATATTTGTCTAATACAGGGAGGCAAGCCATTGACTCCAAGCTGGAAATAAAACCAAGTCATCTAAATTCCCACCTAGAAACATTTCTATTTAGTGTAGGAATGACCCCCATGACATCTTTCTGCACTGGATGAAACCACCACGGGGAGCATTAGTGAGAAACACTTGCATACACCATTAGGACCAACTCACTACTAAATATTCTAGGGAGTACCTGACTTATCAGGGAGAGCCCATTCCTTCTCCACATCTCTGCAGCAACCTGAGCAACCAAGACAAGACATCGCAAAGGATATTCTACTAGCAGCTCCACTTGTAATTCTTCCTAGAATTTGAAAAAAGAAGAAAAAAAAAAGAAAAAAAAAATCAAGCAAGAATAAGTCTGTCAGTGATTTTAAAAGCATAAGTCCTAATGAACAAAGATACATTGACAGCTGCAAAATAACTTGTGTGTGCAGCATGAAAGTTACAGGATATAACTTTAGGCTTTTTCCTTCCCAGAGTATAAATCACAAAACCCATTCTAAATGTTAACTAAATCATCTACAACTCAGAGAATTACAGAAAAAAAGTCCGAGTTTATTGAGGAAAGACTTGTTACTTTCTTCCCTTTTTTTTTTTTTTAAGATGGAAGATCTATTACATTATCACAACAGTTCTTACTAATCTTATAATCCATTATTAATAAATCTATTCATTTAATTAATTCATTAAAACCATTTAAATTGAGATGCTAAATAGTATTAGCAACATTTTAATTTCACATTTAAATCATATGCCATTAATAACTGAATTTCAAGACTACAAGGCTTAACAGATGGTGTCTTGGTATGAAATGATGTGATAAAGAGTCTACAGCTTAATAATAGCATATGATTTCATTTGTATTCTAGAGAAAGTGGTGATCACCCACTGCTGTGGTCCTTAGTATTCTGACTGGAAACCTCTCCTGGCATGCTACAAACATATGCCTTTTAGAAGGAGCATTTTAAACAGTCCTAAGATATATGTGGCTGGAAAATAAATTTGAGCTACAGTAATAACGAACATTCATTCAGGCAAAACAGGTAGAAATAGAAACACAACCACATAAATTCAAATAGTCCAGAGAAAACTGAAGATCTCATTAAAACATGAAACTTTTCCTTCTCGCCTGACTTTCTCATCTCTCCCCTGTTTAAAAAAAAAAGTCCTCCAACCCCAACCTTCATGGCAAATGGTTTTGGGTTTTGTTTTGTGGGTTTTTTTTGTTTTGTTTTGTTTTTTTTTGAGAAAAACTTTCCCTTAGTGGGACACCTGGGGAACAGGGTTGCCTGATCACGAGAATGTCAGAAAGTCAGAGAGCAACTGATCTGTGAAACACTTAATCTAAATGCTTTCTAGAGTAAAGAAAGAGAGATGGATGATAAATATAATTCAAACAGCATTCAAAACAAAACACACCACCTACCAGCAAGAGTCCTAGACAGCGGTAAGTGTATGCTGACAGGATCTGCAGACACCCTGTAAGGTCTGCTCTCCAGAGTATGGCCACACAAGTGAAACACTGTCTTTTCCCGTGAGCGGCCATTTGTGCTGCACCTCATCACAGCTTTATGACATTCGCTGTAGGCCCTGAGCAACAGTTCTTCCTAGAATTTAAAATAAATGCATAACATTATATTTAAAAGTCATATATATGTACTAAAATTCCTCACTTGTTTTTTCTGTTGGCATAAACAGTTAATAAAAATCCACAATATAATTACTACTCTGTTTCTTAATACTGAGAAGTACTGGACTGGAGTAGTGGAGCATCCACTAAAACTAACTGAGGATATGTTTCTGTTCAAAAAAGCTGCTCTGTCAAATGCTTTAAAATCTGTGCACTTATTTAAGCTGCAATATTTTAATATTTTGCATAGTTTACACCCCAAATTGGATCAAGAAGTTCCTGAATGCTGAATGTCTTCCTTTCTCTCCCTAGTGGGGAAAAGAAAAAAATACCCACCCCACCACAAAAAAAAAAAAAACCACTACTTCAAAATATCTTTACGTTAATGAATTGTACAATTTCCTCCCTTCTGCCAGCAAAGGGATGAGCTCCAGCACTGATTAAGACTACTTACAGTTAGCACAAAGTTTCTGCAGTCCACTTTTGCAATTAAAAATGAACACCATGTGCTTCAAAACCTTAAAACTTGACAGTGATACCATGAACCTAATTCTCAAAAATCTTGAATTATGAGAAGTATTTTCTCTTTATGATTTGCCTGACACCCTGTGCAGCTTTGTCAGCTAGAAGATTATATTCTTCTGAGATCCCTTCTCTTTGTCACACCAGAGATTAATTCTTTTAGACTCATTTTTTGTGGAGATCTGTATTGAACAATAGTGAGTTTTTTTAAAAAGCTGCTATTTTAAAAAGCACTCAGGAATATTCACAAAAGGCATGCATGTAAGAATCCCGGACAACCGATATACTTACGTCACAGGCACACCACTCCTGGAACATCAAAAGAATGTTCTTGAGCTGCATCTGTATAGCAATAGCTGCTTCCCAGTCAGGGTCCACCTCAATGTGCTGACCAATCTGTCTTTTTATCTCCTCCATTCCCTGAAACAGAGATGCCACAAAATACTCAAGCTAAATCAGTGATCACAGGCTGAACAAAAACAGCACAAAATCCCATAAGCAAATGGCAAGATACAGGTTGTTCAGATACATGTAGCTAAAATTGATGAATATTACTTCTATAAAGTAAATACTACTTTTTCACCCACCCAAGACAGGGATTGAAGAATTTACCATCTTAATTGCATGTTTATATCCACAATATTGCTATGGCCAAAGAGATGAGCAAACAAAAAGTGCTGTAATATCTTTATAACAGCATATTAGAAAGAAATTATTTAAATGTGTTGTACCTGCATGCAAGTTAGAATCCTTAGGAAAGAAACAAATCCTTCTAAAAACCGCTCCCTCAGATGGTCTGTCCATACTGTAGGCTTGCTGACTAAGACATACCTGTCCCCAAAGAAAACATTATCACCTTTGGCTCAGACTTCTCTTCTGCTTATGCTTGTATTTAAGGTGTTCTTTGTATTAAAATAATCAGCTGCATCATCACTTTATATCACTCTCCCCATCTCAATCTCCTCTTAAAATTTTCACCAAACACTAGAGTTGCTTGGTGCAACTCTATCATTTCAAATTAACAGATCTTTTAATTCCAAGGTATTTGGGGTGGTTTGCTTTTACATTATTCAGTTTATTAGATATAAGAGTGGAAAATGGTATGCAGATGAGGATTATGCAGCTTTCCCGGAATGATAATGAATAGAAGCCAAATTTTGCATACTGTTTTACAGTAGATATGTTTTGTTTATTAACACAATTCTTATATGGAATGATATATGTGAAAATAATAAAAAATTGTCTTTATAGAATATAATTTTGGTATTTGAAAATTTTAAGTTTCCACTGAAAAATAAAACTTTACCGTTTCATGTATGGTTTTTGAGGGGTTTGGGTTTGCTTTCAAAGCAGTTTTATCATCAAATTCCTGAATTGAAACACCTCATCCTAATGCAAATTTTCTAAGAATTGCTCTAGCTTCTCAGCTTTACACTTACCTGAGGTCATATATTACTGCATATACCCGGTTCAGTTTGTCCTGACTGTAACCCTGGAAGTTGAACTTGTCATTTTTGTCTAGATACTCTGGAAGCACTTCTAGGAGCGTCTCTGTAATGGTGGTGATTACATTTTGCTCTTCAATAAGATGTCGGGCCTGTAAGAAGAAAATTAAAAATTTTTCTTCCTATTTTTGTTGAAGAGAACTGTCAAAATCATTTTTCATTTGAATCCAGTCTTTTTGATTAGAAATTATTTTAAATATTTATAAAGGGTCCAAGCTACAAAACTCTCATAGTATTTAATATGTATGAACACAATTTCTATCAACTTTGCATGTTTGTTCACTCTGACAGCTTCAATGTAACAGACATGCTATTTTTTCTAGAAAGATCACATAGAAAAGGACTTTTACATTAGGATTTCAGGCAAGAAACATATAACCTTTAAAACCTACAGGTATACTTTTTACCCCCACAAGATTTAACATATTTCACCCCCCTCAAAAAGACATATAACCATTTTTTGTCCCCTCCCCCCAAGTTTTTAAAGTTACATAGGAAGGTAAACAGTAAATGAACACAGAAAGTTAATGCAGAGAAAGACGCTGCTGAAAACTTCTATTTATTTGCATTCCCTCTATCTTCTGTAATGAATTTTCACCTAAACTCAAGCTTCTGCTTTCATATTGGCCTTAACAAATCTCATTCAACTCAGCAATGCATAAAGACTCTCTGCCAAGTACAGCAGTCTGCAAAGGTGGTATTGCTAGCAATTCTCAAATTTATTTTACATTTCTAGTGGAGACAGGCTGTACATACCAGAGTAGGTACAGTGAACATCTGAACTGAGAGCGCTGTCACAGAGAGAACTCTGTCATGATCATCACTGATGTATTCTTTTTGCAATGCCTTGTAATACTAGGAAAAGAGAATATTGGGGAAATTAAATAAATAAACATTTTTGATTAACACTTGTTTTACTTTTTTATTTGCAAGAATTACATCTCAATATCCTTCCTCCTTGAAGCAGTTCAAACAACAAAACCGGCACAATGTCCTCAATGCACCAAAGCAATTAAATATGTGCCCCACTGCCTTAATACTGAAGATAAGCACAAATTTAACTGTTCTGCCAGATTGAAACCAAAAATATTTTTTCTCCTACAATCTTCCCCAAGAAAAGAAATTAAAGGATCAATAAAGACATTAAACTTATTATAAAACAAGTCTTCCTCCTGCAGTGAACTACATGAATAGTTATTCCATAGCTGTCTATAAAAGATGTGCGCAAGTAGTAATGTAAGTCTTTGTTTGCTTTGTTTCAGTCCAGAGAAAACCATGAAGTGTCAGTCACCTTTATCCGGATTACAAAGTCTCACCCTAAAACAAAAAACTCTCAGTCTTATGTTTTGTGTATTTCTTAACTATTGTATCTAATTTTTAAAAAGAAAGACCAGTTTCAGTTGGAGCTCATCTGCCATTTCAAAAAGTACGCACGATGCTAACAATACTGCATTCAAAATGAGCACATATACCTACATGATTATAAGGAACAAATCAGTTACATTGGTCGCTCTATACACTCTGTAAAGGCTGAGCTAGTTGTTGAAGCTCTGCTTGTTGAAAATTTAGTATTGAAACCATTTTCAGGTTTGAGGGAAATTTAACAAAGCTTGTAAAAATTCATAGCATAAAAACCAAATAACCATTTACCTTCACAAATTCCACAGCAAAAAGTTTTTTGTATTCCATTTCCATGAAAAAACTCGTGAAGATAAGTTCATGAAGAACCTTCCTTGCCCCTGTGAAGAGCCAACACAATGCATGTCACTTTATTGGACTAAGATGCAGCTTTTTGTGGAAAAGAGCAACAGATTGTTGAATTACAATTAAAAAAATCATTAAAAGCCTTGAAATGCTTACAAAGTACATGAACAAAGTTATTAATATATTTTGTTCCATTTTTAACATTTATTGGTACATATTTAAAACATGGGGTAAGCATCAAGCCACTCATAGTCAGGCTACATCTTGTGAAAAGATTCTTCAAAATATATAAAGCAGGAAAAATTTAGGAGGCAAATATATACCCAAAATATCAATTATCTCAGCCATAAAAATAAAGGCTGTATAAAAACCATAACATAAAAACTATAAAGAAATGTAACTCCACCTGCATAGCACGCACTTACTTTTACACATTTGTTACACACATGAAAAATTAATTTGCCTCTTCACTTTACAGCAACAGATACACAAACCTTTATGAAGTTTTGCATCCCATAGCATCAACTTGCTTATGAAGCACGGCTTTTCAGATCCAGCTTCTTCTTTGAGACATATTTGACAAAAGATCTGGCGAAAGTCACCTATAGGGATAAAACTATTCATTTGTACAAGAATGCTTTGATAATTAAATGATATGAGCCAACAAAATGAAAATTACAGAATTCTGTTCTTTTAAAAAAGGCACTTAAGTATGGATTATTTTTTAACAATGTTTTTTCTCAGTGAACATACTCCCACATACTCTCCCCTTACTAAATCTTCCTATTATTCTTAACTACATTATTTAATAAATCCAGTGATGCAGAAAAGTACTTTAAATTGAAAAGCATTTAGACAGCTTTGCAAAGCAGATCCATAAGAAGAGTTCACTATGTCAGCACAGAAATGCACAGGCTAGGCAAATCTACACTGATACCTGCCTTGGGCCCCGAAAGTCAGTCTTTTGTAGAATTTCAGAACATAATTTTATTTTTTCTTGCACCTATCAGTAAATACAGTGCTTGCTGAAGCAGTTTTGGGGATCAACATGACAGAGTCACCTACGCATTACTAATGTTCAGAAATGAGCTCTTACATTACTAATTTCAAAAGGAAAAGTAGAGTGTCATGAATCAAGTTCCTCACAACCTGGAAATAAGTAGCATTGAATGCTTCCTGATCTGTGTTCTACCACTTGACGCAAAACCAGGAAAAGAACAGGAACCACCAGACCACCAAAAAGTTCCAGCTGAGTACAGAACATCAGGCTCTACGTATATAATCCAGAAGGACAAGGACAGGAATGTTAGACTTCAGTCTTTGTGCTTGAAGACTCTCATAAAACATATTAAAATATCAGTTAACCTATAACTATTTCCTAACCCAAAATGCTACACCCAACATGGGAGACTCCTTTTTAGTTTTAGCTTATTAGCTAAAAACATAATGCTTAAAAACCTAAAATTTTGGGGATTTGCTGGGGCACTGACACTGACTTGTCTATACTCACATGGTAACAGCTGAATAATTAGCTGTCAGTTGGTGTTTTAAATAGAGCAATCTCATAAAATTGAAAATAAGAAGAAAAACTACCGAGGAAGAAAAATGTGGATAAAAATTGAACTTTCACTAGAACCCTTGAAATAAACCACATTGTACAAAACTTGTACTGATTAAAACTGTCTGAGGCATTCAGACCAGCAAGAAAATACCATCAGTGAAATAACTATAAAGTTGAAAAGAACAGAAAGCTAAAATTTGTAAAATATTTTAAAGAATTACAAAAAGGTACAATTCTGATATATGTATTTCAAGGGAAAGATTGGAAAGTAAGTGTTCAGAAAAAAAGATAAGAAATTCACTTTATTATTCAAGCTTACAAAAGAGGCTAAAGCAGACCAGCAGATTTACCCTATCAAGAAGGACCATAAGCAATGAAAGGAGATTAATCTGTGCATGTTTGTACAGTGAAAAGAAATTTTATAACAGCTTTAGTTTAGCAAAAGACAGGTATGACAAAACCCAATAACAGAAATCAAAATTAGACTCATTCAGAAGTCTTTAAAACCATGAGCATCATCAAACACCAGAACGAAGTCTGAAAGCTTAAAATAGACTTTCCACTACTGGACAAATTTTTAAATTAAGACCTTTGATTAGTTGGTTTTTTTACTAACACTGTCTAATTAATCACAGCTATCAAACCTGAAGCAGGAATTAATTCAAGCAGAGAATCATAGAATGCTTTGGGATGGAACAGACCTTTAAAGGTCACCTAGTCCAACCCCCCTGCAATGGGCAGAGACATCTTCAACTAGATCAGGTTGCTCAGAGCCCCATCCAACCTGACCATGAATGTTTCCAAGGGTGGGGCATCTACCACCTCTCTGGGCAACCTGTTCCAGTGTTTCACCACCCTAATTGTGAAAATTTTTTTCCTTGTGTTCAGTCTAAATCTACTCTCCTTTAGTTTAAAACCATTACCCCTTGTCCTGTTGCAACAGGCCTTGCTAAGACGACTATCCCCATCTTTCTTGTAGACCCCCCCCTTTAAGTACTGAAAGGCCGCAATAAGGTCTCCCCGCAGCTTTCTCGCCTCCAGGCTCAACAACCCCAGAGGATGTATGCTTTCACTGATGGAGACATTCTGAAGCTTTCCACCAGCACTGGGGAGAGCAGCTTTTAAGCAAAGAAATAGGGCATGTGATGCTGAAACTGAGGGTAATAAAAATTCTAGAGGAACAGACAGAGCTCAAGCAGGGAAAGACATTTATTCTAGCAAGAAGGAACAGAAAAGCACTGCTGTTCATAACCATACTGACGTATATCAGCACCCATACTACTGTATTATTTATTTACTAATTAGGAAGAATGTGAAAGTATTTTAATAAGGGAATATCATATATAACACTGCTAAAGACATTTTTTGAGATAATTAGGTCATTCAAATACTGACATGGCATTATCATAACAAAAATCAATTATGCTTACTTGAATAGCTCATGAGTTTGTTCAGCCAAGAACCAAGGCGCAAGGCAAACTTCTGGTGAGCCATAACATCAGCATGAAGAACCTCCACATGAAGTGGTCGTTGAGAAACGTTTTCAGAATGCCTCTAGGAGTCGGGTAAATATTAGTAGACATAAAATAAAGTTAACATGAATTTTCATATTTGTCTTCACCACCCATTACCTCTCCCAAGCAAAAAAAGAAATCAGTTTGACGTTTTATTTCTGAAGATCTCTATCTATCTATGCCAAATGTGGTGGCGTAAATTCAATTTTAAAAAGTTCACAGGCAGGTTATAAAAGCATGGAAGTACTAAGTTAAAGACTGTACAGGAGACAAATAAGTCTTCAGTATTAATAATGATGAAGTTGATTTGTTTGTTTTTTAAATGAGAAAAATATTTTAGGAAGTTACCTTGATTTCTTCTTTTGCTTCCTGACAAGAGGCATAATGTCCTGCCTTAACAGCTCTACGACCCTGTTTGAAGAAAATATTGAGCATGAGACCAATATAAAACAAAACCAAAATGGCACAAGCCTGATTCTTGCTATGTTTTTTATACGTAAAAGAAAAATGGGGACCAACATGACTCGTGGTGCTTTTAGACATCTAGAAGCAAATCAAAATTAACATAATTATCTTTAGAAAAAAGCTATTTTAATTAAATTAACAATGGAACAACACAGTAAAGTCTGGGTGTCTCAATATTATTAGATAAGGAAAATTCACGTACACATTAAAACAGACGAGAGGGACTTCTGCAGAATACTTTAAATAAGAACCACATCAACTTTCTTCCTAGCACGAAGTACACTCATCTTGAATTGCTTTTCTACAATCTCTCCTACTATTTCTTACTTTTGTATATGAAATAGCAGGGTGTATTACAGGCATGGGTTTGACAGCTTGTTCAATAAAGCCAAGAACAGGTCCAGCTTAGACCTCAAATTCCACTCAAAGGAAATCCAGGGTGCGGACTTCCAAAACAAGTTCTCCAAATAGCAGAATTTCACACAAGAAGAGAGGAAGTAGGTGTATGTTGTGGAACCGTTATAATTAAAACAATATAACCTAGCCCTGTGCTATAGCAGGTGCTTTGTAAAATGAGAAGTCCAATCAACTGTGGATCTAAAATTTAGGTTTCAATCAAAAGGAACCTTCATAATGGAAACCTTTAAAAGTTACTCTATAAGCATGCATGTATATACATATTGTACAAAACCTGCAACTGCAGGACAAGACTTGTAATTACGTAAGACTGGCACTACTAACTAAATACTACTAAACTTTCATTACCTGAACAAAGAGAAACACAAAAAGAAAACACAGTTTTTACAGATTAAAAAGGGAGGTTTAATATTAGTAAAATGTTTTATTTGTAAATATAAAACAAATACATATACACCTATAGACAAAGTTTCTCCATGTACAAGCATGTAGGTTTCATGGTTTTGTGAGGGGGGAAAAAATATGGTTGCAATTAAGATAATTCAAACCCTGAACTTGCTTTTTTCTTCCCCAGTGGAAAAAAAAAAATTACATCGCTAATGTAAGGTCTTTACATAGGACACTAATTTGAAAAATGAAGTAGTAAAATTGTCAGGTTCATCCACGTTCCTTCATGGATTCTTCCTGGTTTCATTTGCTTAATTTTAAGATTTTCAAATGAAGCTTGAGCCAGAACAAGCACTAACTCTTGCAAAATCTAAGGTACATTTCTGATCAAATGTAACTGAATATGCATATTACTGACTTACATATTTTTCAGACAAACACTATTAAGATAATACATTAATCTTGGCTGAGAAGAAAAAAAAAAAGGTAAGAAAATATGCCAAACATGAAAGGAGCAAATTTGGATAAGTTAGCTCTTCCTTTTCTCAAGAAACTGGGGTTTTGTCCTGAAGAAAAAAATTAGTACAGTTTAAAAACTTTCTTGAAGCAAGTACTGATTAACACTTACTCTGCAACATGCCTTTCTCTTTCCTCAAGCTCCACCATCGAAGAAACAAAGATTCTATAATCAAGAGACTATAGTAGCGCTTCTTAATGATTAAAAAGTGACTTTTTCCCATATCCAGAATGCACTAACCTCTTTATCTATGGCAGTAGTATGCAACTGGGCTTCACCAAGTTCACAGCCAAGTGCCCTTTGCAGGCTATAGATGACATGATCGTAAGAATGATGTTCATCATTGAAAAGGACACAGTAGTAGCTGTCTACCTTCTCTCTACTAGAAAAAAAAAAACAACATATCATCATACAAATAAAAATAAAATTCTAAATAGAGGCCTGTTCAATACAAGCAACAGCTCACTTGATAGCTTGAGAGAAATGTCAAATACAAAAAAATTACAGAAATTAAGCATGTTCTTCATGTCAAAGACACCCCACCACCATCTCTACCAGAAAAAGCCACAGAAACCACGTACCAAGTACAAAAGAGATTTTAAGTTATTTGATTATTCCATTATTATTTCCTCTCTCTGCTGTTTTATGATCCCATTTGTCTTTTTAACATGACATGTAAGAGTCCTTCTTCATTTTCATAGAATCATAGAATAGTTTAGGTTGGAAGGGACCTTTAAAGGTCATCTAGTCCAACTTCCCTACAATGAGCAGGGACATCTTCAACTAGGTCAGGTTGCTCAGAGCCCCGTCCAGCCTGACCTGGAATGTTTCCAAGGATGGGGCATCTACCACCTCCCTGGGCAACCCATTCCAGTGTTTCACTACCCTCATTGTAAAAAAATTTCTTCCTTATACCTAGTCTAAATCTACCCTCTTTTAATTTCAAACCATTACCCCTTGTCCTATTGCAACAGGTCCTACTAAAAAGTTTGTCCCCATCTTTCTTACAAGCCCCCTTTAAGTACTGAAAGGCTGCAGTAAGGTCTCCCCAAAGCCTTCTCTTCTCTAGGCTGAATAACCCCAACTCTCTCAGCCTTTCCTCATAGGAGAGGTGTTCCATCCCGGTTTATCATTTCTGTGGCTCTCCTCTGAATCCGCTCCAACAGGTCCACGTCTTTCCTGTGCTGAGGGCTCCAGAGCTGAACGCAGTACTCCAGGTTGGGTCTCACCAGAGCAGAGTACAGGGGCAGAATCACCTCCCTCAGCCTGCTGGCCACACTTGTTTTGATGCAGCCCAGGATACGGTTGGCCTTCCGGGCTGTGAGCACACACTGCTGGCTCACGTCCAGCTTTTCATCCACCAGTACCCCCAAGTCCTCCTCGGCAGGGCTGCTCTCAACCCCTTCATCTCCCACCCTGTATTGATACCTGAGGTTGCCCCAATCCAGGTGCAGGACCCTGCACTTGGCCTTGTTGAACCTCATGAGGTTCACATGGGCCCACTTGTCGAACTTATCCAGGTCCCTCTGGATGGCATCCTGTCCCTCAGGCATGTCAACTGCACCACTTGGCTTGGTGTCATCTGCAAACTTGCTGAGGATGCACTCGATCCCGCTACGTCACTGATGAAGATATTAAGCAGTACTGGTCCCAATACAGACCCCTGAGGGACACCATGTGTCACCGATCTCCATCTGGACATTGAGCCATTGACCACTACCCTCTGGATGCGACCATCCAACCAATTCCTCATCCACGGAACAGTCCACCCATCAAATCCATATCTCTCCAATTCAGAGAGCAGGATGTTGTGGGGGACCTTGCCGAAGGCCTTACACAAGTCCAGACAGACAACATCCATAGCTCTTCCCTTGTCCACTGGTGCAGTCACTCCATCACAGAAGGAGTTGGTCAGGCAGGATTTGCCCTTGGTAAAGCCATGCTGGCTGTCTCAAATCACCTCCCTGTCCTCCACGTGCCTTCGCATAGCTTCTAGGAGGATCTCTTCCATGATCTTCCCAGGCACAGAGGCGAGCCTGACAATCGGTAGTTCCCAGGGTCCTCCTTTCTACCCTTCTTAAAAATGGGTGCAATGTTTCCCTTTTTCCAGTCACGAGGGACTTCACCTGACTGCCATGACTTTTCAAGTATCATTAAGAGTGGCTTGGCAACTACATCAGCCAATTCCCTCAGGACTCTGAGATGCATCTCATCAGGTCCCATAGACTTATGTATGTTCAAGTTCCTCAGGTGGTCATGAACCTGATCTTCTCTTACAGTGGGAGGGATTTTGCTCCCCCAGTCCCTGTCTTGTGGTCCATCCACTCAGGAGGTGTGGGAAGAAAGAGTGCCTGCCAGCCAAGACTGAGGCAAAAAAGTTGAGTACCTCAACCTTCTCCTCATCCATTGTTACCAGTTTGCCAGTCTTGCTCGTCAGGGGGGTAATGCTTTCTTTGACCTTCCTTTTCTGGCTGACATACCTGTAGAAGCCCTTACTATTCTTTGCATTCCTTGCCAAGTTCAGCTGCAGCTGTGCCTTGGCCTTCCTGACCCCATCCCTACACAACCAGGCAGTGTCCCTATACTCTTCCCAGAATACCTGTCCCTGTTTCCACTGCCTGTGCATTTCCTTCTTGCCTTTCAGTTTGACCAGCATGTCTTGACTCATCCACACCAGTCTCTTGCCTTCCTTTCCTGATTTCTTACACCTGGGGACTGAGAGCTCTTGCGCTTTATGGAAAGCGTTCTTAAAGATCTGCCAGCTCTGTTCTGCTCCCTTGTCCCTAAGTGCAGTTTTGCAGGGGGTCCTATTGACTAACTCCTTGAAGAGCCGGAAGGTTACTTTCCTAAAATTCAGGGTCCTGACTTTACTCTTCGCCTGACCCATATTCCT